GTTTTTAACACAACGGGGAAAGGCTTTTGAGAGACACCATCACGGCCAAGGTTTATGTAGCGCAGAGACCGGGCCAAAGAGAGAGCCGAGGGAGCCTAATCTGTTCTGGCACCAGGGGTGGAGAGGCTGCGCGAGGGGCCTGAGGGTCTTACATGGCAGCTCTGGCTTTTTTTTAAGCGTCTGAAAACTTCAAAGGTTAGACTAGAGGGCAGGTGACGTGAAAATAAGAACTTAATTACAGGCAAAGGACTAAGGGCTGCCGAGGCCGTGGTGGGGAAAGTGACATCTGAGTGGTGGGCCTCATTCGTCTTAAGCAAGTAAGCTTCCAACACCCCCCCCGGTAAAGGCGAGGCTCCTGGCAGGCCTCCAGCAACTCACACAAGATTTTCTTTTATTTCCCCTCTAAAAGTGTGAAAGAAAGAAAGCTCTAGTGGGCAGCTGACCAGACATACTTGTTTGCCGGGCCAAAGAAAAATGGCTATTCACTCAAATTAGCCGTTTGCATGGTCACCTTCAAAGGAGGCCCCTCGGCCTAATCTCCTCAAACTGTGTGCACACACTCTCTGTCGGCTCCGCGAGCGCCCGGACGCTGAAAGCCACGGCAGTTAATTGAAGCATTATCGGCATATGCATGGTTAGGTAAGCTGATTATCAGCAAGTGAACTGTCCTCCATCAAGCATGAAGCAGAGGCGAATACAGCGTTTTACAAATGTTCGAACTTAGAGAAAAAAAGGCCACGGAAAAACAAGTTTCAAACAAGGTGACGCATGAAATCACAGTCCATTCTTGTGAACAGCCTAATTATAAAAAAGGGCATTGATAATGATGGTCAAAAAAACGGTTAAACATCTTCCATCCTTGGCAAGATCGTCCTTTGAAGAGGAGCACCCCCACAGAACCATGCAGTTATTAATAATATCGATTTGAAGCCATCAATTCTGGACATTATTGCATTCCAGACTGATGTTAAACAGCAGGAATTCTGCACACATCGATCATTTCGAACATCTGCCTCCCGGAGATTACTGCAGGCAGGACAGAGCGCGTGCAGACCGTTAATGATTACACTATTACGACATATGTGGAAACGGGATTAATAATCACTTGTGCCTGATTATCAGAGGCATAAAAACCAGATGGGATATAAACTCTGCAGCTTCCATAGAAACAAAAACAGTTTACAACCTGTCTCCATCTGTCCTCCATCAGGCGATGTTATTCTCTTCCAGACTCGATGTTTTTATTTCTAAACAGTCAGACGTGTCAATTTTGTAATTAGCAATTTACACTGATTAAGCAAATTATTTACATTTTACTGAGAAATATAAACAACACGACTCCTCAACTAAATGCTTTGAGTATGACAAAAGAAAGAATGCAAAAGAGGAGGTGATTTATTACCATTGGAGCACAGAACAAGCCTACAACTTTGATGGCATAAAATCCTCCGCAATCAATGATTCTAAAATAAAAAGTTGTGTTGCTTTTGAAGTATATTGGGCTAAGCATTTGTTCCAAAGTATTTAGAGATCGCTCCATTCTGTTTTGATTCACTGATTAAATGGTTGTGCACGGTGAATGCAAATAGATTATCCCTGTGCCCTCAAAGTATGCTCAGACAGAACAAAACATGTAACGTCAGATTCTGTCCAATCAAAAGAAAATTGGCCCAACATCAGTGTTGGGTTATAAAGACAAACATAACTTTTTGGTCTGCTGTTCCTCATCAGCTCAAACGTCATTGTATGTTTTCAAATATAAAAGGGCCACATTTCCAAGAAACATAGTGGGTTTGCTCCTTTTCACTTTAACAGGATGATCGAACAATAAAAACAACAGAAACTTCCATGTCCGCGAATACAGTTGGAGTTCGTGACCTTATGACCCAGTTTAAAGGTTGATAAACCGTTAATCTCTGCCTCCACTCTCTAAACCATTAAGCTACGTGAAATAACAGCACTGTGCTCACTGAATTAATTCCTGGGTAAAGCTAAAGAACGGCTGGGAGGTAGCCAACCCATCCAAGGAACAAACCGAGGCAAATCATGGAAAAAAAGCTATACAAACAAATCTGAAGTTTAATTCCGGTCAAGCAACATACATGTACAAGCATTTTTTTTTTTTGTTTTGGAGCAGTGAAACCTAATCATGGCGGTTTCTCAGTCGAAAACATTGATTTAGCTCCTTCTGGCCGATCCGTTTGTTCATTCTGTGCCATTCGATTTCAATAAGAGACAGATGTGGACTACAGGCACTCGAACTCTGTCTGTGAAACCATGTTGTTGGAGGCCTTTTCCTGCTGAAGTAAACACAGACTTTCCAGAAAAGAAGAAGTTGCCTCGATAGAGGCACGTCTCTCCTCGCTGTCTATCTCACAACAGATCTTTTTTTTACTTACACATGATTATCTGATTCCCTCTCTGAGGCTGGCACAAAGCGACCCTAAACCCATGTTTGCCTGGAAAGACAAAGCCTTTGTACTGTATCCCAACACTGTCACTTGTCACCTTTAACCCTTTAACGTTCAGACGTCCAGCGCTGTGTGATTTATGGCAAAGCTGGAACTTTTATCATCCTCTTTCTATGTGGCTAAAGCTAAAGATTATGAGATTTATAGGACATTTTAGGATACAATCATAACTGTAGAGACACAATACACTTTTACACACAACCATACGTATTTCTATCTATCTAAAAACTAGCATAGCCGACCACTTCACTCTTCTCTTATCGCTCATCTGCCATGTTCATGAGTAAAATGAGCCTAACGTGGATGCTGAGGGCTCATTATCAGCCAGGGAAACATAATTGCAGGCGGGCTAGCTGATGTGTTCAACGATAGGCATGTCGGCCATGTGGATCCCAACAGGAAGACTATCTCCTCACGCTCAAGTGGCAGAGACCCGTCACAGAGGCTTGGTTTCGGGAGTCAGGAGGCAGGCATTTAGTCAAAGCACAATTTCCAATTACAGTAACAACGACTCTCAGACTCTCCTGTGAACAGATAAACGGTTGACAATTTTTCCCCATTTCCTGTTTTCTGGAGCTTTAGATTTAAAAACTGCTTGTATAGACATATTGTTCTACTTTCTGAAAATGAAGAGAAATTCAGAAAATGTGCAACTCATTCAAAAAATAAACAAACCAGCCAAAAAAAAGTACTTTTTAATGCCGTAAATGAAATGTCTAAGAATTCTTGGTCAGGTCCTGACATTAGTCAAGACTGTATTTGAAAAACTAGATTCTTGTGACATTATGATCATTTATCAGGAAATTTAAGTCACTGAGAAGCCTCATCAGCCTAAGACATAGCTGACATATATTTAACTAGTGAGCCTAACAAGAAGTAACAAACAAGAACTGTGTATTAAAAAAAGAAGAAAAAAATCAAATAGCATTATGGTTGAATGGCACAGGATCTAGAACATCTAACAGATGTTTGATTAGATGTCAGAATTTTTAAAGTATGCCACCAGAGAAGAAGGAGGGGAAATAACTAGGTTTATGAGACAGTCTTGTTTTACTCCTCTGGAGGAAAGAAGGTTCTTGAGAAGGGTTGAGGTTATTCAGGTATGACATTGTTCTACATATTTAGAATACAGAGCAAAGAAACCGGTTGGGTGTGAGTGGAGTGAAGGTTTGAATAAAAGATTCCCTTTAAACAACCTGCCGTGGGTTACCATGCCACCAAGAAAACAGTGGTTTTGTGAGCTCTTGGGGTCATTATTGGACATTGTTTTCAAGTTATTATGTTCATAATTGAGTATGAAAATGACATAACTATATATCAATTTCTCTAAATGGTGGCTACTAGTTAAAAAATTGTTAATTGCTGTTGCATTTTCATTTTTCTCAGTTCCTCTGGTTAGAGGAGAGAATGTGTCATGGTCTTTTAACCAGACTGCAGCCACAGCCACAGTCATCCACGCCTCCACAAGAGCAAAAACAGAACTCCTCATGGGAAAAGATGTATTTGCCATGATGAGACCCTGAAGTTTATGGTGAGTTATTTAGTTAAGATGGTGGAGGTAGATGCTGGGGGGCATGGAAAAAAATTGTATTTGGTTAACTGAGAAGCACTTTTTTGAGGATGTGAAATGTGTGTTTATGTGTGTGTAAAAAAAGAGAGAAAGAGCAGCCCAGATGGAAGGGGTACTAAAAGATACCGGAAGTTGGCCAATTCACTTCAAAATAAAGTCTACATGTTTGATAGCTGACATGACAATAAAACAGATTACAGTTCATTTGGAAAAGAAGCCACATATAGCAGGTAAATTAGTAAAACTCAATTGAGAAAACTATTGGGTGCATAAAAAAACAACTATCAACCATGAAACAAACAATACAGACCGTGATAAAATGAGGATAGAGATGAAAGGTAAATGGTTGGATAACAATGAAATAAAAAAAGAGATAGATGATGCAGTGGAAGATGGATTTCTCCAATCATTGTTTTGCATTCTGGCATGAGAGTAAAAAATTGTCACTTTGAATTAGTTAGGTTGACTTTTAAAAATGACCAGAGATTGGGGAAATCACATTTTTTCACTTATGTTATGTTTACTTGACATTTACATTACAAGGTAAAAACATTAGCAAAACCATATGAAAAACGACTTTTTTTAATACTGCTGTCAAGTGAAGGTATGAATACTAAAATGAACACTCTAATATAAAAAGGTTAAGAATGTTTGTAGGGATTTGTTCTGTTTTATTGAGGATTTTGGCATCAGAGTGAATACAAAACATGGGGGGAAAAAGCCCAAAAGTTACAGACATTTAAACTGTACCTTTTAAGAAATGTGATTGAAACATCTCATTATATTATAGTTTGAAAAAGAGTGTCTCTTGTTTTAGTATTTCACATGGAATAAACCCAGAATCAAAAACAAACAAAAAACAAGAACAAAACAAAAGGAAATGATCTTGTTTTGAAATCCCTAACCGGATGTACCTGTCACTCCTGGCGCTAGCTTGTCGCTCTCATTACCGGCTGCGTTTCTCTGCCCTCTCCGGCTCACAACAAACGCGCTTCCCACCGGTGGGAGACACGGGAGAGCGCCACGGAAACACATTTAACATGGAGCCGAGCTGGTCAACTCAAGTGCTTCTGGATATGACGACTCGAAAATAAAAAAAACAACGTCACAGTCGAGTTTCTCTCAAGACATTTGAATTAAAAACGGAGCAGCTCTCCTGGATGTTCGCTGTTCAAGGTAAAACTGTTTTACTCTAACTGCTCGAACTAGGTTTATAGATTTGTTCTGTGTTATTATTGTAGTTCTTGTTTTAAAAAATGTGCAAACCTTGACTTGCACACATTTCTGAGAGTTTACGAAAGGCAGAACTCACCTGTACGTAGCCCCGACCTTACAGGTGAGGAGGGTACGTTTGTGCTCGTGCTTACTTCATATTTGTCAGAAATTCTAATGACGACATACGAGTCAGGTCTCCTGGGAATTTATTTTTATTTTTTAAAGCTACCACGGAGCACATGAGGTATTCTCGCCCCACTTAAACATCTTTATTTGGGTCCTGTAGCATCAGCGCGTGCATCTCTCAGGTCGGGTGGGCTCAGACATGACAAAAAAGTGCCTCCTGCAGAAACTACCCCTCTCATTTCCTGCTCAGACTTCAGCTTCAGCCCAGGTCATAAATCAACTGTTTCCTTATCAAGGGGACTTTCTGCTGCATGTTTCCCAAAACAAACCTGTATTGGTTTGTCTTATCTCCTCTGAAACAGGGACTAGGATAATGGACTGGGTGACTTGTGTTTTATTGCCTTTCTCAGTGGACCGGCCCATTGTTCCTTTGCACTTTCGCTTAAGCAATGTCGTGTTCCTTTTTCTGGCTTTTGCCTTCCTTCTCAAAGCTGGAAGTGACAAGCAGACTCTATCCAAGAGGTCACGGCAGTTTCGACCTGCGACACACTGAGCTCCCTGTTCTTCATCTTGGGGTTCAGTGACAGATTTTACATTTAAGTGATAACACAGAACAGCAGTCGGTCTCATTTTCTAGCTCGTATGTAAGGAAAAAAATTGCTTTGAGTTTCCATGTTCCGGCCGACCTGCTCCAGGGCTCAGCAATATAACACATGTGGATTCCTAAAATGAGTGGCATTCACCCCCCCCCCCCCCTTTCAGACGCTCCCTGCTCAGCACAGAGGCGCTTTCGCAGCATTATTCTGCTGACAGGTGTGAGGCTGACGCTCAGGGGGAAACGGGAAATAATTCCCTGCTTCACAAAAGCTTGCACTATTCTGATACGTTTGACTGAGAGATACTCATAGGTGCCAATTTTCTGACATGAAACTTTAGACAAAACAACAACAACAACAACAACAACATCAGAATAGCATCGTCTCTATTTTTATATGCAGCTGCCTCATCTGTAAACCGCTGGCAGATGTTTGGAACGGAATGGGAACATGACAAAGGAGAACACACACACTGAGAAGCAGAGTTCAACCCCAGTTTCTGAGAAGGGGGGGTCGGATGGTCACCAGTTAGTTTGCATTGATGATTTTTCAGTGATTTTCTGAGCACATGGCCAGTGATCTGCTTTGTCAGCATATCAGCCCTGGGGATCACCCCTTCTTCATTCTGGTTCTGTGGTGTTTTTATTTTTATTTCAGAGTATCATTCAGACCTGCTGCCTCCATCGCTTTCTATGTTTGAACCCGCGGACATGAAACTGCTCTTTAAGCTACTTCTTTATGTACAAAAGTTCAGCTTTCAAGTTCAAGCTTGTCATTGTAGCCTTCAGGGTTTAAGGGATTTTCTTGTTTTTGAAATATAAATGTGCATTTAAATATTTAGACGTGGCCAAACCGCTCATCTGGAAGTCATATTTTTGGACGTAGAGGAATCCTATAGACTGCTTTGCGGTTCTGGATATGCTGGGAGTTTAAACATTGGGAACATAAACATTGTTGGGACTGGAAAGTTTCCCGAATATGTGCATAATTCACATAACACACCTTGTTGGCTCCGCCCGTGAGACTAAGTTTCATAAAGATCGTCTGCCTCCTTAATGCGCTCATTAATCATGGATTATGTTCTCTGTAAGGGAGCCTTCTGCTCTGAATACTGTCCTTCATCTGTTTTAACTGGGAGTCCCACTCCCTCCATTCTTTGTGTCACACTGCACAAATCGTCTCCTTCAACAAATAAAAAGAGAAACTTCAGGAGACAGGACAACAATGGGAGCATAGCGGGAGCTGTCAGCCAGCTCGCGGCCGGTGTTTTATTAGCGTGCCTCGGGGGCCTGTCATATCAAATGAAATGCCAGATTTGTATTTATCAGCTTCCTTTGTTTATGCGCTGCCTTTTATTGTTTTTAAAATGACTGTCCTCTTGATTGTTGTTAGCTGTAATTAGTGATGTTGCACAGTTTTTCCCCACAGCCCGGCGTTTCAAACTGTCTGAAATAATGACGCTGTGACTCATGGGAGCCTTTCGCACAAGGAGCTGCGACACAGAACTGTTTGCGAGCTCTTGTTTTAGGTAACTTCCTTAAGACACAGGATTGGACCGGTTTTTCTGGTGTAATTATGCCCTTTTACAATGCAGTTTTACGCAGAAAAAGATTTTTCTTTTCCGTTTTCCTGTCAGATGAGATGGACAGGGCGTTTCATAAAGGAGGCTGCAGATTACCGAGGATCTGTCGCCTCATAACCAGATAGATGTTGACAAAATAAACTGAACTCCGGTGACCTTTGCTGTCACCCACCCAAAGTTTGTAAGGCATCTTTTTCTCTGGTGGGCTGCGAAGAAGCCGGCATGTCTAATTAAATTGCCAGCAACCGAGTCCACGTTCTGGCAGTGATGAGCTGAAGTAAACACGCTTTGATAGCCATCAGTTTTCTGTAAACTCACTGAAATGAACCCTGCCTCTGTTTTCAGGGTTACGGTTCCTTCACTTTTACAGATAAGGAGTAAAACTCCTCGCCTGGAAAATGGATGGATGACAACTAGTCCTTGATTTTTTTTCCCCCCAAAATAATTAGGCTATTGTGTAACATCCATTTAAAAGAATGATTTGAATTGCTTTATTCTGACTCAAAATCTATGTTGCTTCGCTTTGCCTTGAGACCAAAAATGGAAACTTGTTTTAAAAGGCTGCATTCAGTTGCGCTGACTCAAATAGATTATGCAAGTCTTCAAGGCCAGAAATATTCTTGCTGTTTAATCTTGCATGGCTACATCCAAGCGAGGTGATTGTGCACAAGCCCTCTGCACGCCGTATACTGTCTACCAATGAACCTCAGAGAACAACCACAGTGGAAGTAATAGCTTGGTTTGTTTTCCCATGTTCGTATTTGCATAAAAAAAATGCAAATAAGAAAAGATGAAAAATTGGAAAAACTTCCTGAAATGTCGAAGTACATTTCCATACTGGTTGGGATTGTCTCCAGTATGAGCGGGCTCACATGACCAACTGCCGGTCCCAGTTGGGACACAGTAATCCAGATATTCCCAGTAATTCCTAAAGAACGTCCCACTCTCTTTTCCTCTTGCTGGATATCCACCAAAGTTGATGTTTCCTTTTTCCTCCCAGAGATTTGTTTGTGGTTAGGACAACTACTTCCTCTACTGAATTACCATGGAGAGCACGGGGGGCCATACCGCCACCTTGTGGCCACAAAACATGGTTTAGTTTATTGAGTCTTGTGTTTTTTGCAGCTTTTCAGCAGATCACTTAAGATTTGGATCCATACCACCACATATGCCACATATACAAAAAGAACATGTAGAATATTTTACATTTATTGTACTGCAACTATTAAATGAAAGGGCTTTAATCTGCTGCCAAGCCACATTTAAAGCTTTCCCTTTCCCTTTGGGTGCAGGGCTTGTGACCCCCTCCCCTGGATTTGGAAGGGTATTCTTAGCCAGCTCTGAGTTTTGTGCACAGCTGGACTGCACAGCTGTTTTGGGTCAATAAGAGGCAGGGGTTGAGGTTTCAGAGAGCTCTGATTTCTGAGCCTGGGAACGAGCCACGCAACTTTTCGGTCTAATCTCCACTGTCTGTCCCGACCCAACCACATGACGTCTGTCACAGTTTTGAGGACTGGGTTAAACGCTGAGTATTTAAAGGATTCTGTAACAGATTTCTGAAATGCATTTGCCTATTGCTGTGTGCTCTTTGGTAAACTCATGTGGATTTTTTGTTTTTTGTCTCTCTCTTTCTTTTGTCCCAGTTTTCATGAGCAGAGCACAATGGCCATTAATCTGTGGGCATCCATTAAATCTAAGTTTCCACATTTTGTCACCTCTTTTCTTGGTGCTATGATTTATGGGCCCCATTTTCCAAGTGGCCCAAACCAAGACATTTCCGATCATTATCTGGAACTTTGGCTGCACGGTGCTCCTTTCCAGAGAACTAGCTTTATTCACCTTGTTTGCTAAACAACAAGAAACATCTCCCTTTTTCCACCTCAGTCAATGAACACATACCGATGACTTACAGTATCCTCATGCAGGATTCATGGTATTTCTTTTAATGTGATCTCAGAACTCTGTATTTCTGCTTTTCCTTTTCCTTTGCGTCACATGAAATGAAAAATTGCTTTAGAGAACAGACCGCTAGCAGCATAACAGTGTCTGTGTTTTTCTTCCTATTGTCCTTTTCTCCACCAAATAAGACATTTCATACAGAAAATATGGTTGTAACTAAATTAAAGATTCTTTCTAGTTTAAAACATCTTAACCTAAAGTTAAAAATGGATTAAAAAAAAATTGATCAGTATTGACTCGGTTTCATCTCCAGCTCAGTAATCTCTTTCTGGTTTCTATTGGCTCCCTTTTTGCTTCCCCCCGGTTGGACCCACGGCCACCGTCTCCTCCTGCTGTCACTGTAAGTGTGGCAGAGACCTGCTGCAGTTATGATTTGATTTCCAGATGTTTAAACGGTCTCGATGAGATGCAAAAACAGCTGAGCTCAGCTTCCATTAGAGCAAAGTCAGCATCACCAAATTAATTTTGTGTTTGGTTGACTAATGCCCTTCAACACTAGTTAATCCTGAAGTTATTCTTGTGAGTCAGTTTGTTTTTTATATAATCTGTTTCCTTTTAGTTCCCTTTGGCACAGATTAATCTGTAAAAAGTGAATATTGACTAGTTTGTCCGCCTGATTCTAGTGCATGTTCAGCATCACATCACCTAGTCGTTTTGTTTGTCATTTTGAAAGGATGAGATAATGTTGCTCCATAGCTCTGTTGTGGAGCTGCAGGCATAGCTAAAAACTTCTGGTTCTTTTTATCTTTCAAAAGGCGGTTATGATCGTTCTCAATGAGAAAAACCAGAATCAATTATATCGGGTTAAATGTCAGGATTAGTTTTAGGATGTGTATGAAGTATTGACTTTTGTTACAACTGGCCTGCTTCCAAATGCTGAGTTTAAGCCAATAACTAAGTTCTGTCCAGAGGATATTCCACAGGAAGCGTGCACACAGAGGTGCATAATCTGTGACTTCTGGGTGAATGCATGCTCTAAAAACAGGTTTGAAAAGCAACATGTTCTTTTCCCATTAGCATCTTTGATTGCAGTGGTAGTTAGCGGGATCATGACATTCCCAGCTGCAGGCCGGCGGCATCTCTGACTCTTTTCGCTCTCCTCCTGTTTGGTCCCATTTCCCATCATGCACCTCTAAAACCCCCACTCATTTCACCGCTCTCTTTCTCTTCATCTGTGTCAGCGGCTTGGCGTGCTGCTGTAATCCGTCTCCTAACCTCTGGCTGCGGTGTAGCCCGCAGACTTTGCCATTGAGGACAGGATTTTGAGAAGGCACAGGAGCAAATAACTCGGTCATTTCATAGCAAATTATGTTCCGCTTCATTTCAGGCCGGATCACGTTTACTGTTATTTTCATAACAGCTGAGAAAGTGTCAGCTTTTGCTAAAGAGCAAAGATTTTTGTCATATTTCATAAAAGCGGCCACTCACTAAATGAAGTTCATTTCGTCATCGAGCCACACTCCACAAACCCCAAGACCAAGAGGAATGGCTGCCAAATACTACAGGACACTCCCAGAGGTCCAGCGTGTCCACGGGCCAGATTTGTTTTGGCTGCGTGCGGATGACCTGCACAACATCAGGCAGGTTTTTTAATGTCCCGCTTCAGCATTGCTTTGGAGGTTTGACTGTATTTTCTTTTCTGACCGAGCTGTTTGCTCACTGACCTTTCTTTGGGACTGTAAAACCATAAACAACAACGTTGTGACATCTAATGCGGTATCCTTCTGTTCTGGTCCCAGCACGGTGCACATCAACACCAGAATTGGTTTAGAAATTTGATTAGCTTTTTCAGAAAATAACTCAAACTATTATATTTTTTTTCTAACATTACATTCACAAGTCTGTCTCCACCCTTCTCCCGTTTATCCTTTCGTTCAGCTTTCTAAGAGTGGGGTACAGTGTTGAACCAGACTTGCATAGCATCAGTGGAATGACCATCTCCAAGGTTAGTTGTTTGGATATTTTTAAACGCATTTTTCCTCACAGTTTGTTGGATTTCTGGTCTGATGCGTTCTCCAGCTGGTAGGGCCCAAGTGGGCACTCAAACGGACTCCGTTTAACATGAATGCTGCCATCTGAAAACAGACTGTAAGGAGCTGTAGAACCCGGTTCAAAGGGACTGTTTGTGTGACTGCTGACCGTGTGGGTGAGTGACTGGAAGTCGAGGCGTTGGTTTGGAGATGCTAGGTGGGCGACGGGATCCGTAGGGGCTGCGTCATAGCGTTGCATAAGGGCTTCCGTCATTAAGTAATGAGCTGTGCACACACGGATGGCACAAGAGGTGTTTTTTTCTTTCTTTAATCACGGCTTAGTTTATTATGAATACGTTCATTTTTACACGTCCTTTCCAGCCAACCCTTAAACCACTAACGGGACTTAGTCGTACAGAAGTTTTTTTCTCACTAAGTTTCTGACTTGTTGGAGGATGTTTGAGGTTTGGCTTGAATGATCCTAAATGAGGATGTCTGAGGAAAATCCACAGATTTTGAGCCGTAATGCTTTCCATGTGGGCTGTCTTTTTGCTGTGAAAACAAGGCCGGCATACTGGCTGTCCCTGTAGATCCCCTCGCTGCCTGCTGCCCATTTAGTCCTCCTTTTACTAAACAAACATCTCTGGTTTCAGAATTGCAGAATTGTAGTCCCTTCTTGTTTTCTCTGACATTTACACAGTTATTGTGACCTTGACCACACCTGTGCACGGACTGGCCCGGATCAGTGCACAGAACACAGTCCCCGTGACCGTTTGCATGATGTTCTTTTATGCTACACCACTTCCCCGTTTCCTGAACGCTCTTTGTCTGAGTGTGATGATACCACACTTTCTCATTGGGTTTGTTAACTTGCCTGGGACCTTTTGACACACTGTTGAACATTAGAAAAACAAACTAAAGTGTTGCAGGATGGCGGTGTTTGGATAGGAAAGAAGTAGGACACCACCCTATTCCTTAATAGTATGCTGGCCTTGTGTCAGTGTGTTTGCATGAGTGTGTTTTCTCATGCTTCTTTGTCTGTGTGTGTGTGTGTGTGTGTGTCTGTAAGCCTGTGAAATACAGGACCTCATTTATCCTCATTAGTTTTTCCCCTTTCACACAGCCCTTCCCTATAGGTGTCTAAATCTATTTCCTGTGCTTTTCTCTGTTTTATGTAACCTTCTCAGCACTGTAAACTGAAGGCCTTCAAACAAGCACAATACACCAATTACTCCCTGCTAAGTAAATGTGGAATGGGGGTCTGCAACACTGTGCAACACTTTTTTAAATCAACATCTGTACTGTTAAATAGTTTGAAGTGACTATGAGTGCTTTAAATCTAAAGAAGGTGCTGAGGCAGGTAGCGGATTTTTGGTAGATTTACCATTTTAGAGTCCTGCTTTTGAGCACATGTTTGGATTCTTGTTCAAGGCCGGAGCAGAAACATTGCGGGCAACGAGGAGAACTCATCTGCTCATAGGAAAGGGTAAAAAAGGACATTAAAAGGTTAGACTGGCATCAACGGGCTGACCCCTTCATGATTAAAATCTAATCTGTTCTGTCTCTGTTCATCTGCCATCTTTCTATTATATTCTCTCTTTCATTTTGAATAGTCTAAGCTTTTAAAAGCCATTTACTTGCTGAATGTTTTTGCGTGCCCAGAGGTCTATGAATGATGTGATTAAATCCTGCCTGCCACTATGATGGATTGCTTTTTATTTGGAAGAAATCAGCGTCCTGTAAAATTGTGATGCTTAACAGGCGGAGCAAAATGCAGAGATAAGAGAAAAGCTGATTTTAAGGGCAATGCATTGGACACGTGGTGTGGAAAAATCCCCTAAAATGTCATGATTTGTGAGTACCTGCTAAACTGTAATTGCTTCAGTGTTTTGGACTGTTGAAAGAGAAATATGAGCACGCCCTTGGGCGATTTTCTGAGAAAGGGTTGAGTCCATTTAAGTTTGCCCATCTCCTTTAAGGTTGGAATGAAGCAGTTACTCCTCATTCTGTCTCCCTTTATTGACTTTTTCAGGTAAGGAGCCACAGTGATGTTTATTGATATTGAAGGTCCTTGTCTGGTAAATGAATAACCCACAGAAATCTTGATCAGAGTGCAGCACTCAGCTTTTTACACCCTCTGTTTGGGTCTTTTTCTAGTAGCAGGTGAGGGTTGAGGGCCTCTGAGGGAAAATGTCCCACTCCGCCATGTGGGGTGGTTATTGGCTAATCATTTTTTAAGGTACCGGGTTTATGGATTCATGGATTCAAAGTAGTTTGAATCCATAAACCATGGTTCGGTTCTGTAGTTCACCATTTAGCAAACCAGCGTAAAGCCTGTGGGAATGAGCTAATCCCATGTGGGAAGCCACAGGCTCGTTGTTGTGCTAAGGGACAGATGGAGGGCTTCACGGTGAAGTTTGTCTAGGCTTGAGTTACAGTCACCCTGTAGGCAGTCAGTTACGCTAGTTTTAGCAAACATCCCTGATCCCACTGACTGAACCGGATGGACAATAACAAGAGCCTACCTGCCCCCTTCCTTTGTTTAGCTTTAAAGCAAAATTACATCTGTAGAAATCTTTTTCTTTAATGATGCAGAAGGATTGTGTTGTTTTTTTTCTTGTCTGTGACAGTGCTTTGTTTCTGGATGATGATAATACCAAACAGATGAATGTACTACAGAGCGACTTTAAGAAAAAAAAGCAGACTTTCACACCTAAGAATATAACTAAAGGTTATTCAATAACTAACTGTTATTAAAAGTAGCAAACCTTCACACATGGATGGTTGTTTTGTGAACAGGGTTCTTTTAGGGAAAATCCCCTCAGTCTTAACTTTGCTCCGTGCAGAGCTGTTCTGCCACTGTGACTCAGAATTTCCTCTTTCTCTCTGAATTCAATAAACATTTGTCACATTCCAGGTTTTCCAGCTTTCCACAGCAGTAATAGGCTCACTTCTTTTTCTCTGCCTATTCTACATAGTGCTTTTTTTTCATCCCATCAGACTGTGAGAACGGAGAGGAAAGGAGAAAATGAGGCTCTTCTCACCAGTTTAATTCCTGCGATGTCCAACAGAGCTGTGCACGCTGGCGTCCAGACACTGAAAAACAGGCTTCTTTGACAGGTAAGAGGAGGCTTTTGTTGAAATGAGAAAAACGCAATTTTCAGCTTGCAGAAAATTGCGTTTTTTAGCTGTTTAGCTTATACATTAAACATGTCTCAACATTATTTTGTAACTTTTAAACAAGAATTTCTTCAAATTTCAAGCAATATTTCTTCCCAACAAAACATTTCAGGCACAAAAATGCTGCTTTTATTTCCGCGTGGACATTATTTTCAGCTGAAGTGGCCACAGGATGCCCCACACACGGCGTCATGCATCCTGTGTTGATGTTGAAACATTCCAACTGTGTGGGACTTTGCAACAGATCTTAATCAAGGTTGGAGTATTGCTTTAATTCCAGAGTTGGAGGCGCAACCCTAATCTCTCTGGCACATTATGCTGTAAATCAGAGCTGTGTTTAAATGGGGTCACTGCCAAGTCAGTAGAGCCAGCCAATGTGCGTGGACTTATTTACTAGCAGTGTTTTTTTCTCCAGTCAACAAAGCCCCCCCCACCCCTTCCTTCTCTTTATTTGGGTTTGCAGCTGATGAACCAGATCTTGTCGGGACCCAAATGTTCTCACTTTTTTTCTGAGGTGTTCATGGATTGCTTTGTGCCATGGTGGATTATTTTGGAGGTAAGTGGTCCAAAGGGCTAGCTGGTCAAGCCCAGTTTTAGCTGCAGCGTCCAATGGGAGTGATGTCCCCACGCCGACACTCAGACACTGATGGATGGCCTAGCTTTCCGTCGCTTTCTGGTCCCAGCCAGAGCTGTTGTCACGAAAATGTAGAAGGAAGCAAGCAGATGAAGTGCAGAGAGATGGCATCTAGGCTTATGATGGATGACCACCTGGTTGGTCTCCACCACAGATGCAAATAAACTAGAATTGGGGTCTCAGAGGAACTACTTTTATGTTCACTGGAAATGTCTGTGCTGACAGAGCTCCTGAGCATTTTTCTGTAGAATTATGAACATTGTGCGAGTAGGTAGTACGATCTATTTCAGACCAGCAGACAGATGTATCCACAATAACTGCAAAGCCAGACAGGAACTGGGTTTAAAACGTAGCCTGAATATTCATCAGGGTTTTTAACTCGTTTGCCCTGCAGAAGAGAAGAAAGCTGAAAGTTGTCGTTTCCCTTTTCCGCTTCAGCCTGTAAACCAACTCCCTCAAAGGGGGCTGAGTCATGTCGACCACCCCTCCGGCCCATAAAGACTCGGTGTTAATGGTGGCGTTCTCAGAGGTGATTTGCAGCCTGCATCTTGATGCCGGGGCTGGTGGCCTCGAGCCGGCTGATTGATGGTGTTTGCTGTTCAGCGTTGGACGTGGACAGAGTGCTTTCTATTGCTTTGGCTGTGGCCTGATGGGCTTTTACTCGTGGCACATTGAGTCTTATCCAGACCTCCCATTGAGACTTCATCAAGAATGACCATGAACTCTCTCCCAAGCCTTGCGTCTCAAGGACAAACTTTGCCTACCAGTGTGACCCAGTTCCAAGAGCAGGGAGGGAGGGAGTTAAATGAGGGACAGATTTGTGTTTGTGTGCGCGTGAGTAAGGCTGTGGCAGGGCATAGCCTACTTCTCGTACCCTACTTTACCCCTCGCTTTATGCAGGAACTGAGCTCCACTGACTGCACCATCTCTTCCCGTTCTTTCTGGTGATTTTTGTCCAGATGGTGGATTACAGGTCAGGACAAAGGCTAAACACTGCTCCTGTCCCATGATGAGAAACTTCTGAAAGCTGACCACCTGGTTACTCTGGATGTTAGAGACGCTCTTAGTTATGATTTTATAATCCTCAATGTCCCTCCTAAAACTATCAATTCAGCTGGCATGCCACTGAGGTTTCAACAGGGCACAAATGAATGCAAATGCCTGAGGGGGGAAATTGTATCATTTCCAGCAGTAGCTGGAAAAAACAACTACTCTAATTGGACAGTTTCAAACTCTGTTGGAGTTTCTAAACAGCAAATGAATACTGATGAACTGTGAACAGAGTTGGGGATGTCAGTGTTTATCTGCAGAGCTTCATGGCCTCTCGGCAGCTTTGGTGTCCAACTATTCCACCTGTTGCAGCTTCTGCCTGGAGCAGAAGCTCTCAGTGGATCTGTTAAAGAACCAAACAGTCCATACAGCAACAGATCTGCAGGACAAGCCATTTGGAGTTGTACATGTAGATATCTTCTGAACAGGCCACAGTCTTTTACTTTCCTTTTATTTTTTTAAAGATTAATCTTGATCATTTACTTCTGTATTTCAGAGCGACATTTTCTGTAGTTGGATCTTTAAGTATAAAGTAAGCCTCTCTGTTCACCCCCATCATTCTTTTTGTAAAATGTCATCCTCTGAATGTACTTACCCCATTTTAACAAGAAGGGACTGAAGTCAAACTCATTTATGGCAAATCCAGACTGCTTTTTTTTAAGTGAGGAGATGTAATTAAGCAGCGTAAAGCAAAAACTATATTCTACTGACAGCTCTTATTCTCCTGGCTCTCTTGTTTTTTCCTTCCTTTTGCTACCCAACAAAGACCATTCAGGACTTCACAGAGTGCAGTTCTTTTGGCCAAAGGAAATGGCAGAGGAGTGGAGCAGTGAGAAAGGAGGTATATCTGTATCAGAGAGAGCCTGGACCGAGCAGGAGGAGGAGGAGGAGAGCATGGAGGCAGAGGAAGGGGAGGGGACTCTGCTCCCATTCACAGTGGCAGCATTTGGCTTGGGAATGAGCTTTTTTTTTTTTTTCTTTTCTGGAAGGGGATTTAGGGAAGTTTTCCTCAAGAGGGGTGGTCAGAAATGTAGTGTTTGGGCTGACTTATGTCTGAGACACGTCGGAGTTGAGGCTGGATGATCAGGAGGAACTGCTCAGACACCAGAGCAGCAATGCAGGGAACAAAGTTCGGTAAGAAACTCTAGAGGTGAAGAACGTTGTAGAAAAGGGAAGTTGCTGTTAATCACATCTGCAGTAACTGACACAGGTTGTTTGATCCATTGTTCGACTCATAAACTGAACCATGCAGCTTTAATCCCAGTAAATGTGGAAAAAACATAGAATTTTGCAAATTCTGTGAAGAAGAACACACTAGATTACTGTTATCGAATGTAGGATCAGCTAATTTATTATGTATGTATTTATTATTTATGATTATTGTTGTTGTTATTGTATTATTATTGATAATTGTCATAACATAAACATTTGATAGATCATGATGAAATGATTAGCAAAGATTTACCATTATCTGAAGCCTAAAACTGCTCTTGAGCGCTCATTAGAATACAAAGTGTCTTGGCTTTAGTCCAAGTGTGCATGTGTTGTTTGAATGGAGGCCTCTGGTGCAGTATAATCATTGACAGTGTTCGGTGCATCATTCAACAAACCTGAAGGCCATTGTGAGGAATGTCTGTCTAAGTGGGTTTTACTCACTGGGTTTTAAGAACCTTTTCACCAGAGAAGTCTGTGACGAGTATTAACTGATCTGCAATTTCAATCAACATTTTAGCCAGATTTTGGTTGAACGGCAAAGATATGTCCCCATATGTAAAGGTATGTTTCTTTACAGCCTTTATTTCCAATTATTTAAATGAATATGGTTTGGTGGCCATATTTTTCCCAGGTCTGTGAGGTGTCTGGCTTTAGAAAGGTGGCTTGTCTTCAGAACCAAAATAGCTTTGTCACACTTTTTCTCCATGTTCCAGTTTCCAAAGAGAGGGGCAAGAATAAAGAGATGGGAGGGGGTAACGGAGCTGGATTCAGAAGTTTGGACAGAGGAGATGGAGGGTGGAGGAGGGGATCTCCAGACTCATTTGTTTGCTCCCTCATGCAGACGCTCCCTGCTGAAATGTGAGGCGCTCTTCTTTTCATCCGACCTCTTTCCCCCCCACATCCCTGTTTGGTCGTAGGTGTGCTCAGAGGTAAAGCCTCAGACGAGGGCGGATATAACGCAGCTTTCGGTGTGAGGAATATTTTTAGCCTCACTTCTCTGGCTGTGTGTTTATGGTGTGGTTAAAAACAAAGAAGGACTTAGTGCTGGTTCCTTCCTTTGAGTTGCTCTCAATGCTGGTTGAGTGACTTTGCAGTCTTCTCGTGCTTGGCCAATAAAGTGGGCATACTGTACTGGTATAAATGTCTCTGTAAAGAGGTTTTTCATACTCGCCACCTCTAATTGCCAGTCTCAGACGCAGTCAGGCGACAGGTTACCTTTGCATACCAGTAAATGTCATCATAATTTATAACGCCTTCTGCATGTGTGTTGAAATATGCAGCTGTGATTGGAGGGACCTGTCGGCTGAATGGAGATGTGAATGGAAATGTCTAAGGGAAAAGTGTTTATTTTCATAAAAGTAAAAGGTAAATTAGTTAATGGGAATACACAGATTAAAAGTGACTGATTGTGATGATGTGTACTTTTCTTATCCATATGATTAAAACGGAAAAAGAGCAAAAATGAGAACCAGAGCTGAAGCCTGTCTGTCATTGTGCTGTGAATTGCAGTCGTGTGGCACATTTATTTGTTCATAAACACCAAAAATAGTTTTCGTCTCAAATTACTTTAAGGTGAACCCCTCTTCTGTCTGGAAGCTGTAATGTTTGGAACATTTTTCCCTTGTGGATTCTGGCGTCTTGGCTTAATTGAATGGGGACCTCAAGCAGGCACTGGCGAGCTGAGTGTGAAGTACCTGGGATGATTATTATTAGAAAAATGGAAGCAGTTTTGGGATGATGGGGCGTCTTTGTCAGAGCACTGAAGCAGCAAAATTGTAGACCTGTCAGTTGAGCCTTCTGTGGCTCAACCTGATCTAAAGAAATATGATAATTGTGGATTTTGGGTGGTCTAGGACTCCGCATACTCATCTTTCCATTTAACAGAGATGTTTGAGAATACAGGAGGGCCATAAACAATGTGGCTTTCATTATTAATGGACAGAACCTGTGCTTTGTTTAACCGGGGCTGCCTTCTTTAAGTATGTGTGTGTTACATTTTGTGAGAAAAAGACTGAAATGAAATCAGAAGTGTTGTAGTGGAGCCGAACTGTGTGAGTCCAGTTGGAAAAAGAAATATGTTGGAAAAATGTTTTCCATTCATGGCATCACATCACACTCAGACGGTATCCCTGTACGAGTACTCTCAGCCAGACACTAAAAGTGATTCAATATCACAAGAGGGCCTTACTTTTTGTAGAAATTCAGTTAGATAGTTTTTCACTTGAAAACTATTGGCTTGACACTTTTCATTCTTTTGTAAAACAAAGCTTTTTTCTGTGAAATTTGTGGTTGAAGACATATTGAAACGAACAATAATAATAACTATAATAATGATAATGATGATGATGAAGCTGTGGCTGAACAAAGCATGTTAGTGTTCACTTTCCTTAGCTGGTCCCACATTTCTCCTGACTGACTGACTGAAGGGCATTAAAACCCTCAAAGGCTTCTCCAGACAAAAACAGTCTGCTCACAGGAAGAATCAGCTGACCCAGTAGACATTATGGGGGTGGCTGAAATATTGCCCACGTGCAGAGTTTTTCGTTTTTGTTTCTGTTTTTTTCTGTGCTTGGGAGATGGAATATGTGGTGGATCCATCTAGTTGTCATTAGTTGTTTATATCCATTTATTTTTCATTAGGACACGTCGGAGAGCGTGTGGAGTACTTCCAGAGCTATAGAATGCCTGAAAGCTTTAAAATGCTAAGGGGGGTCCTGGCCTCCCTGTCAGCCCTCTGACCTCCTCCCTATTCCCACCTCCTCCTCTTTCTAATGTTTGAGGCCCTAGTTACTACGACAACAAAAGGGAAACCAGGACTGCATGAACATGACAGAGGCTTTAAAAACAGTTTGAGTTCTTGAGCTTAGAAGAGTCCCTGCATAGTTCCTGTGGGATTAAAGCTCATTCACTGGTCTGCAGAGAATTTGTGGACTCGCATTGATGAGAAATAATGATCTAAGGAGAGCATCTCCAAGAGGGATCCTTTAGAAAACTGCCTAATCTAACAAATATGTTGGCTAGGTTATTTTTTTCAAGCCCAAATCACAAATTTTTCTAGTTATGCGTAATAATAGAAATTCTGTTTCTTTGTAGGATTTAATCAGGTATGTGCAATTTTTTGCTAGCATGGCAGTAATTATCACTCAGTCCCATGTTTGAATAACAACTCTGTTCTCCTCTTATGTTGTTAATAAACCAGGTGAATAGCTTAGCGTCTGTTTCTGTTTACGTGTTCTGGGTATCATCATGGACTCATTTACTAAGAAAAGTCTATTAAATGTAACCTAATTGGCCCTGCTCTCGGGGACAGTTCGCTCTGATGCCCCAACACCACATGTTTCTCCTTCTGCCATTCACGCTGACACTGATGCAGTGATTAAAGTGTGCAGCAGAAGTCTTTAAAGGCACACTGACACACATTTCGAACTCCATTTTCAAACTGCATTCCTGGAACAACCAAAGAATCGGTGGACTGATCTAATCTACCCACAAGAGAACGAGCAAATGGATGTTTGACTTTCTAATAAAACCACAGTAAAGCACCATCCACCAGTACAAACTGATGATACTCCTCCATCCAAGCATTAAGCCTGCTATTTGACAAACAAATGTACGCTGAAGACAGTCAGACTCTATCTACCGGTAAATCTGCATTTTCAGTTTTCACACAACAACATACTGCCGTGCCAGATTAGCCTCATGTCTCTTATGTGTCTCATGAGTTTAAGCAGGGGATCAGCCAGATTTAAAGGGTGCTGATTAACGTGTGCTAATCAGTCAAATCACACAAGTGGCCTTGCAGACTCTCTGTAAACTTGGCAGGTTGCAAAATGATCTGGCGTGGCCCTTTTCTGGCTCCTACGCTGCAGAAATGTCTGGCGGGCAGCTGCGACCCCTCCTTTCACCTCATTAACCTTTTTTTTTTTTTTTTTTACGAACAGCAGGCAAACATAGTGACAATTAGGTTTAGCGAGCAGCAGAGCAGGTAAAACCAGGAAAAGTGCCGGCGGTTGTAATTTTGTTTACTTAGCGATGCAGCAAGAGCTGCAGTCTTGTCATATCTGTGCGGCTCCGTAACCTGAAACTGGAAAACGAGACGTGCCTGTATGTCGCACATCCTCATATTCTCTGACTCAGTGTGTTGATGTTTTTAAACACAACAGGCTCTGCTGTTGGTGGTGCCGAGAATGGACGGTGACCTCATAATCACGCGTCCTGTTGGTCATTGTCCTCCCCAATAAAGAATTCCCCAGGAAAACTGTTGGTATCAGTCCCTGTCATCCGGTTATAATGTCAATATTTACCATTAGTTTCACCATAGTGTGAGAATGAAGGCGTGAGCCAGTAAGTTTGTCATTTCTCCTGCATATTAGTTCTCAGAGTTTTTGAAACCTAGATGTTTTCGTGCACTCCTAACTTTGTATCTACAAATCGTCACAGCGTGTGAGATGTCCGGCTCCTCTTGTGTTTTGCTTTTGAAGTCATGTCCACAGTCGGGGTCTTCCAGTTGTTCCCCGGGGCTGATTAAATGTGTGGAGACAGAAGCTTTTGTTGCTGTCAAAGAAATGTCAACATGTAACAAACCATTTAAAATCTGAGATTGCGAGAGACCCCTTTCTTGTGCTGCCTCATGCCTTGCGAGCCTCGAGCCCTGTTTGTGCTGCTTGACTGCATTTATTGAATGGCCGGTCCTGGTTCTCTGTGTGTGGGCCTCCATGCTCTTGTGGGATATTTCTGAGCTTTACTCTACTGTAAATGTACAACTTTGCGTCTTTGAATCGTTAGTGTTTGTAACAGTGAAAACATCTTTTTAAAATATCCCTTTATTAGATTCACTGCTGTGTTTTTTTTCTTAGTTTTACTAGATGAGATCAGAAAAATGTTATCCTTCATCACACGAATGCCATGTGCTCGTGAGTTTGACCTGAACTTTTTAAGACTGAATAAATAAAACAGTTGAAACATCTCTGTTCATCTCTCTTAGAACAAGTGATCCCTCACAGTTGTCACCATGGCCCTGGTTCAGGCTCTTCCCATATCTGCTGAGCCCCGCACCCCAGGCCACGGAGGTGGCGCACGCAGACGCCACCGCTCCGGCCCCTCCCCCCCCATCAACCTGCTGCCCCCCGCGCTGGACCCCATGGGTTCTGTCAGCAGCCTCGTTGCCAGCCGCCCCTACCAGGACCACCGCTCTGGCGTTGAGCCGGGGGCCAGAGTCCGACGGCCCCCAGCTGGACCGTCATGCCTAGGATCGGAGTCGCCCCAGGACCCGCTGCGGCACAGCTCAGCGACATCCAGCAGAGGGCTGGAGAAGGAGAGCGGGAATGGGAACTACACCTATGCGAACGAGGACTATGTTGGCGACTGGAATGATAACCATGTGGCACGGACCAGCCCGGGATGTGATGCAGATGAGACTAGAGGGTTAGGGTTAAATGGAAACATGGGGGGGCCTCCTCCAAAACTGATCCCAGTGTCTGGAAAACTTGAGAAGGTGAGTCCTAAATCCCAAGGTATTAACATGTGATCTGGGAATACTGGGAAACTTTTAATGTAAATGTGGCTGACATGTTTAATTCACGTGTTTCATGCCTCTTCTGAAGTATGATGTTTAAAACTGAAATGAAATTGTTGTCAATGCTCACTTACCTGCTCTCTGCCCTCCCTACACCTTTGTGACTCCTCAACTAGAACATGGAGAAAACGGTGCTGCGGCCCACTGCCTTCAAACCCGTCATTCCCAAGAGCCGCTCCTCCATGCAGTACCTGTCCCCGCGCCACTGTGCCAACGCACCAGAAAGCCAAAACAACCTGAACCTGCTCAGCCCCTCCCAGCGAGAGGCGTCCCCGTCCTGCTCCGAGAAGCGCAGCTCCTACGGCGGGGGCCGGAACGCCAGCGGGGGCAGCAGCCAGTCCTGCTCGCTGTCCGACTCGGGCCGCAACTCGCTGTCCAGCCTGCCGCCCTACGGCGGCGCCAGCTACGGCCTGCCGTCCGGAGAGGCCCCCGCCGGCCAGCCGGAGCCGGTCAAGAGCGCCCCGCCCGTCGGCGCACACGTGCACTCCAACTCCGACAGCGGACGCTCGTCGTCCAGCAAGAGCACGGGCTCGGGGTCGCTGAGCGGGCGGGGCCAGCCCCTGTCGGACAGCGGCTCCAGCGGGCGCTCTCCCGGCCCCGCGGAGGGCTACGAGGGCGTGGTGAGGGACCTGGAGGACAAGCTGAGGGAGAGGGAGATGGAACTTCAGCAGCTCAAAGAAAACCTGGATGAGAACGAAGCTGCAATATGTCAGGTGTGTGAAAGTCCGGCCGGCCCTCTGTCCCACTGACCGCACACCTCCTCTGCAGCGCTCTGACCGCGTCTGTGTCCACACGTAGGTTTACGAGGAAAAGCAGAAGCGCTTTGAGTTGGAGCTGGAGGAGCTGAGGCAGGGCTGTGCCACCAGGATGCAGGTAGCCTCCCAGAAGGCCCAGCGGGCTCAGCAGGTGCTTCAACTGCAGGTCAGAATCCCACTCAAACTCTAAATCAAGCACTTGACAAACAAAAAAAAAGAAGAATCTGGAAAACTTTTTAGAGTGGTTTGTTCTTTGGCTATTCACTTTGATGGACATTTCAGGGTAGTGGAAGTTATTGTAAAGAAACATGCTTTCATTGTGTCCCACATGCCGTGTCGGCAGGTTTACCAGCTCCAACAGGAGAAGAAGAAGCTGCAGGAGGATTTCTCTCAGCTTCTGAAGGAAAGGGAGCAGCTGGAGGAGCGCTGCTCCTCATACGAGCACGAGAAGATCCAGCTCGGGCCTCGACTAGAGGAGACCAAGTGGGAAGTGAGCAGATTTTTTTTCTTGAACTTACTGACATTGTTGATGAGTTCAATCAAAATGAGTTCATCTCTATGCTGTTTTCATTCCGTGATCCCTTTCTAAACTCGGGATTGATCATGTCTGTCTTCGATGCTCGTCAGGTCTGTCAGAAGTCGGGGGAAATCTCGTTGTTGAAGCAGCAGCTGAAGGAGGTGCAGAGCGAGATGGCCCAGCGCGTGGGGGAGATCGTCTCCCTGCGGGGTCAGCTCAGGGAGGCCCGCGGAGAGCTGACCAACACCCAGGTGCAGCTCCAGGAGTCCCAGGGCTCCACCCGCACGCGCACCCTGGAGCTGGAGGTGTGCGAGAACGAGCTGCAGCGCCGGAAGAGCGAGGCGGAGCTGCTCAGAGAGAAGGTGGGGCGCCTCGAGGCGGAGCTGGCTATCCTCAGAGACACCCTGGCCAGTCAGGGCCCGGGAAACCGCCAGTGCCAGGTGTTCCAGGAGGCCGAGGAGCACCTGCTGGCCTACGAGAGCGACGAGGCCAAGGCCCAGCGTCAGAGCGGCGCCGAGGCCCTGCAGAACATGAAGGCGCAGATGGACAGGATGAAGTCCGAACTGGCCTTTGAGCGCCAGCGGGTGGAGCAGCAGGCGGGCTGCTTCGAGGAGGAGCGCAAGATATGGCAGGAGGAGAAGGACAAGGTGATCCGCTACCAGAAACAGCTGCAGCAGAACTACGTGCAGATGTACCGCAGGAACCGGGAGCTGGAGCAGCACCTGCAGGAGCTCAGCCTGGAGCTGGAGAGCCGAGAGGAGGACGAGGGCAGCGGCAACGAGATCAACTTCGACGAGATCGCCGCGACAGAAATCTAATGCTCCCATCGGTCCGTTTTTCACCCTGTTTATTTGCACTACTGACAGCTAAACGTTTTCCCCTCAGATCTGCTCTCTGCCGTTTTAGACGGAGACGCCGCGTTGTTCGTCACCAACGAGCAGGAGAGCGTCTCTGATATAAAAGTGCAGTCGAAATCAGCCACACATCAGCTGAAACCGCTCACACACGAAGGCCGCTGACCCTCAACAGTCACACGCCGAGTCCTGTCGCTTTTCACGTTTTCTAAGTGCTTGTGTGAGTAACTTCACTCAACCTTTGACTGTCCCCCTCCTGTGACGGTCTGACTCCACCCCCCCCCGCTGGGTCCGACACTACACTCCCACTCCGTCAGCTGTCGGCTGGCGTGAGCACAGAGCATTCGGAGCCCACGCCGCCGTCAGCCGGCGGTGAACGTGGGATCCCACACATTCAGCGTGTCACGATTAGAGTGAACGAATCCCGGCGGCGTGTTGACGCGAAAGCCCGCTCTCCAGGTGGTGCGGACAGATCTGCGACCGACCGTAAGCTCGCTCAACTGATCGGGCCTTTATGTAAATTGCAATATGACTAAGTCATAAAGTGCAATTTTTCCCCTGCTTACAGCAGTCGCCAGGTCCAATTTGTAAGTCGGGACCAAAAACAAAACGTTTTCTCCCGTTTCAAGGGATGCTTGACACTAAATTAGTACTGTGGGTGTAAAGGATATTTTGAGCCTCGGTGCATTCCAGTTGTACAGTATCTAACAACACAAGCTTGTCTTTAAATGACTTTAGTGCAGAATGTGAGCAGAACTTCAGTGACTAATGACCCTGACTTCATAAAGTTTTAAAATCCCAGCTGTCTGCTTTCTACACGGCAGACATTAGTTGGAAAAACGTTCACAGTGGCTTTTTTTAAGCACGGCAGCAAGTTTGTGCGCCGGCTTTTAATATCTCTCAATATCGTCCATTGTATTGATTGTAAACTATTTAATAAGGACTTTTATTTACCCTCTAAGTACCCAAGGTTTATGACTTTCGAAAGGGGGCTCAAATTTATTCTATACTTATTGATGTAATGTTAGTAAATCAGACCCAGAGACGAAAGGAGTGATGTCATCTGAATTTTGGGGTCATTATTGAATTATTTACACTTGTGCTTTTTCTGCTGTACCGTGTTTAAGGGTGAAAAGAAGCTGAACTTGGAAGCCATTTTGTTTTCCTCTGGAGACATCTGTTTTTCAGTTGTTCTAAAATATGAAGGAACGCAATCGCACTTAGTGAATATGACGTCTACAACCGTAAAATTACACGAGAGATATAATGTTTTCAGATTCGATTCGTTTGGATTTCTGTGTGCAAAGAACCTGCAGAATGGCCTGATGAAGAGAGTAAATTATTTCCTGATTAGATTAAGTTTTAATGAGTCGGTGGGATTTAGACCCACTGGCTTGCAGCGCCGTCCATGCTGTCTTAAAAACACCAAAAGAAAAATAAATGGACAGCAGCCACCTTTATAATCGATGGCAAAAAACACAAAAAACGGCTGAATGATGTCTGTTGTCTCATCTCATCCTCTCCCTGGGTTTAAAATTGTCATGGATTCATCTACTTTTTCCAGGAAAACCTATTTTCACACAATAAGGAGAAGCGTGTCGCAGCACTGAAACACATTTATCTCTTTAAATGGAGAAAACCCTTTTTACCTCCATTTCTGAGAGGGTTGTCGATGGCGCAGTGCTGTGTGCTGGGCCAGCGGGTTACAATTCTCAACTGAAGCTAAAGCGAAAAGAGGAACTCTTGCACTGAACAATGTCACACAAGTGTTCACTGACCTTTTAAAATATAGAATAATGTATTTAGTTCCCCGTTCCCAGAAGACGCCTCGTGTGAGTCATTTATCCTGTAAATAAGCCATTTATTCCAGAGACGTGTGCCCGTCTCAGAAAATAAAAAACATAGCCACTGTGAATAGACCAAAGCAATGTCCCACACATGATCCTTTCCTCCTGCAGATACGATGCCTGTATATTACCGTTGGTGTGGATGTTTGTTTTGGTTCCTCAGTATAATTTTATAATCCACAATATTTGTATGAAGGCATTAAATGTATATTTTCATGCTGTACATTTCTTTAAAAAAAACCCAATGGGGTTTTAATTAAAAAAGACAAAACTGAACAAGTGTTGCAAGTTTTTTTTTTTAAATAAGTTGTACGGATGTATTTATCCTGAGGTAAACATTAAGTTAAACCTACAAATTAACTTGCGGTTATCTAATTGTGGCTCATATTGTCCGAGCTGTTCTCAGGCCTGTAGCAGAAAGGTCTCTGAATGGCTCACATCTGCCCCCTACAGGTAGAAAAGTCAACACTTCTCTGCAAATTCGTCCCTCCGGACTCTAAAAGACATCTGGTTACAGTCCGGTCGGTCATCCTGAACATCAGAACACACACACTGTTATGCCACTGGTGAGAGTTTTATACACAAATGGATTTCAGTTCAACATAAATGTAAAAATTACTTCTTTTACAGGCACTGGCTCCTCGTTAGTGATAACTTACACGTGAAGGCATCGGGAACACTGAAATGATGAATGTTTTTGCTCTATTTTCACGTTATTCCTCTGTTTCGGTGTATTTGCTCGGTCCTCCTCGTGCCCGTTGACCGTGGAGGCTGTTCTTGTTTTCCAGCCCGGCAGGTCGCTGAAGGTGTCCAGGCTGACTGACCGCTTTTAACATTAGTGGCAGGATCACACACCCGGCCTCAGAGCCATGTTAAATCTCAGATGGGCGCTAATCACTGGGCACTTCTCCAAATCTCCCCTCAAAGATCTTTGGGAACTTTGACCACGAACACCATGGGGTCTTTGGCCTTGTTGCTGAAGGCTTTTCGGATGATGTCGACAGCATGCTGGTGGGTGACTCCGCGCAGGGGGGTTCCATCCACAGAAACCAGCTCAAATCCAGCCTGGGACGCGCAATGAGATGGAGGGTAAGAAGCAAAAATGGGTGTGTTCAACTAGCTGAGTAAACGTCTGCAAAATCGTTCAAATTAAACTATTTACAGGACTACAGAATCACTGGTTTGTGCATTACAGCCGTGTCTCAGAGACCCTGGTCACCTTACCCTGAGCACTTCACAGGCAGACGCGGCTCCTCCTGGAAAAATCTTCTCGATCTTCACCACCGGCTGAACTTTGGACTCCATCCCACCGGATATACTGATTCCTGCAGTGTCACAACAGGAATAAGACATTGTGCAACCCCCTTTTTTCCATTTTATCTCTGAATTAAGAGTGAAACCCCTTTACCGAGCGACTGTCTGGTTTTGGAGATGCACACTGTTTTCAGCTCATGCTCCTGTGCGGGTTCGGTACCGTTGACGTTCCCCTCAGAGGGACCCGGGTGGCCGTTGGTTAGCCCGCCTCCCATTGGACCAGGGGCCGCAGCGAACACCTGAGAGAGGAGGGGTCGAGTCCGCCGGGCGGCGCTCTGCACCGTGAACACGGCGTCCTTGCTGCCGCCTCCGCTTTTGGAGTGACCGTCCCTGAAGGGGCGCCTTCCCCTCTCCGAGTTCGTGTCCACCCTGTCTGAGGCGGAGTGGAGCGAGACCTCGTCGAAGTGGACGGAGCGGATCGTGCCGATGTCCGTGCGGAGGGGGGGGTGGGAGTCGTCCCGGCCTCGGGCCAGCAGCCAGTTGGGGAGAGCCGGGCCGGCCGGCGGGGGTCTCAGGTCTCCGGACTCTGCGCCGTATCCGTCCACCGGTATGTCCAGCAGAGGCGTGAAAGACCTGGAGGTGTGGGGTCGCTCCCTGGACCCCGGCTGACCCGTCAGGCTGAGCCTCTCCAGAGCCCCCAGGAGGTGACTCTCCTTCTCCACCTCCTCGGCGCTTTGGAGCTCAAAGCCCCCCCTGTAATCTGAGTGTAGCGACACAGCTGTTACCCTCTTCTAGTCTTTATTAAGAAAGAAACGTGGAGAAGAAGTGGACGGAGAGTGAGAAGCACGAGTAAAACCACAGAGGGATGCAGACCTGGGATGGGGGTGATGAGGCGCCGTTTGGGGGCCCGGCCAGAAGCGGGGGATCGGAGAGGGGGAGTTCGTACTGCAAGGCAGGGACAAAATGGCTGTTCATTCACAGAAATGGCAGAAGGTTCTAAAACACTGAGGAAGAGGGTCCGACTTGACAGAATGGAGTCCGTACAGACCACCTGGAGCTTGGAGTTGTGTACCTGAGCGATATTTGAGGATGTCGTAGGCTTCCACTTCCACAGACGACACCATGTTGTTGAACACCGGCAGGTCAGACGGTGGAAGCAGCATCCTGAGGAACGGGATGGGACAGAAAATGCTGAGTTACTCCTTTTGAACGTTTTTGACTTGCAGCCCTTCAATTAGGAATATTTGGATTTTAGCTCATAGTCTGAAAAAAAAAACTTATTTTTAACAAGTTTACAGACGCTTTGTTGTATTTAAGATTATTTACTTCATAAAGAAATTCTCTGTGTGGAATTCTTGGCATCCGATAAAAGTTGGCCTTTTTTCATTTTTTTTAAAAAGTCTCTTGTTCTAAATTTTGGGAATGTGAACCTGAATCTTTTCCCTCCTGCTCACCTGATTTCTCTCAGCAGCAGCAGCTTCTCGGGGCGGTCCAGCACGGCCAGCAGGTGGCGTATCAGGTTCTCCACCGAGCGCTCTGCCGTGTACTGTGAGATCCAAATCGGATATTTTTTGGTTTAGGGCTGATGCTTACATCACAGGTCTGTGAGCTAAACGTTCCTACCCTCCGACACGTCCTCATCACGGCCTCCACCTCCTCCTCGTTCAGCAGCCTGCGGGCCATGGCCTCCACCACCCCCAGCATCTCGCAGTTTGGCAAAACCCGAGACTTCGGTCCCTCTGAAAGCACGAACGTCTGGATCAGAGTCTGATATCGCAGAGTGTATGTACGTCTGAGCTGCGGTCGTTCCGCATCAAGCCGGAGAAAAAAGGAAGGGAATGACCTTCTGCTGCCTCTAACACACAGAGAGCCTCATTGTTGTCCAAAAGCCACTGACTCACAGCTGATGGCCTCTTCTCTTTACTCCCTTTTTAAATTAATTGGGTAAAGGCCACGGCTCCTGTCTACTTGAACCCTCTTGCAGAGGCTTATGTCACAACTCGGTCCCTCCGGTCATCAGTGGGTTGTCGTCTAGCAGAGCTACACCACGCTTAAGACAATCCAGACTGTTTTCATGTGTTGTTCCAGGATGGCGGAACGAAACTACCAAGCGCTATTAGAACAACAGCGTCCTTGTCTATCTTTAGGAAACTCCTACAGACCCACCTCTTAAAAAGAGCATCTCCTATTTTAACTCTACTCCATACCTCTGTACCCTCTACTACTCTGTCTGCACTTCCCTCTTTCTCTTTGTTGTCACCACTGATTCTGACTAGGGATTTTCCTCTAGAGAACTTATTGTCATATTGATGATAATTGTAAAATTGTGTCTACTTTGTAAGTCGCTTTGGATAAAAGCATCTGCTAAATGCATAAACATAAACATAATTGTCAAAAGTAAAAAGGAAGTAGAAATACGGAATAACGTCCATTTAGCCGTGAAGGAGATTCCGCTTGACAAACACGGATGAAATGATGCAGCTACCTTTTCCAAGCTTTTCTGTGGAGGGGGACTTGGAGCGCCCCCTGGAGGCGTCCCTCCTGCGCCCCCCCTTGAACAACAGGTTCACGAAAGTCTTGGAGCGCTGCAGGGTGCTCTTCTCCTCCGGGTCCTTCCCCTTCTGCTTCTTCTCTTTCTTCTGCTTGATTTCTACGGACGATGGCAGAAACCGTGGCCGTCAGTGCCGCTCGACGGTCCTCACAAACGCCGGCGGGGGGGGGGGGGGGGGGGCCCCCCCCCCCGGCGGGCCCCCCGGGGGGGGGGGGGGGGGGGGGGGGGGCTCACCTGCCACGGTGACCTGGCTCTGCGACCGGCGGATGGGCCTGCTCGGCCGGCTCAGGGCCAGCAGCACGGCCGTCTTGGGGGACTCTTTCCGGCCGCCGTCGTCCTCGCCATCCCCCCGGATCACCGTGTCCCTGAGCAGGGTGGTCGGCCCCAGGCTGCGGGTGGTGTCCGCCGCCGGCCTCTGAGAGGGAACGTCCGTCTGGATGGCCGTCTCCATCCGCTCCGCCCCGGAGCTGGAGAAGAAAAACCACGACGAAAAAAATTAAATCGGACCTCTTTGGCCGTGTGGTTAAAAAGAGATGGGTGAACGGGAGGCCTCTCTGACCTCTGGTCCTCGGTGGAGATGCAGACGTCCACCATGTCCGAGCCGAACGGCATGCTGGGCGGGAACATGACCTGCGACAGGCCGCTCAGAGAACTAACCGGCGTCCCGGACGACAGCGAGGAGGCCGAGGAGTTGGAGCCTGAACCCTGGGAGGAAGATTTCTGGGTACCGTTGGCCACTGACGAAGCAAATCGAGCACCTGTGTTAGAACATCGATCTGCCCCCCCACACACACACATCGGCGTGGACTAACACAGGAACGCGTACGTTTGTTCAGCCACCTGTACTCTGCCACCATCTCCTTATAGGCGGGGTATCGCCCTGCTTCCTGTGGAGATATGGAAGCAGATATGCAAATGAGGTACAGAGGAGACCTTGACATTTCTATGGGATGACTATGTAAACCTAGAGCACCCCCTCCTCCTCCTCCTCCTCGCCGCCATCTGCCCCCCCCCCCCAACCCCTGACCCTTTGTAACCTTTGATAGCCGGGGTCGCTTTCTATCCCGGGACGTGTCCAAGCGTGTCCTCAAGGAAGAGCGAAGGGAAAAGCTGAAAAAAAACACGGGCCCGACCAGCACCCGATCCCGGCCGCCTGGTGAATAATGCACGCCGCCCGGCTGTTTGTTTTTTTTTGTTTTTTTTACACGACGCGAAACCCAAGCTGCGGCAGGTAAAGTGAGCGAGGAAACTGGCGCCCCTGGACGCCAGCTGTCAGGCCCCCGTCGGGGAAACCGCCGGGAGGGCGGCGGGTCAGAAGGTGGACGCGCGGTAACGAAGGAGCCGGCGTGCTTTTTAATGACAAACAGTGGGTGGGGAAGGCGATACGGCCCCTTCGGGCTGGTCCCCGGCTTCTTCCCGAGTCCATGAAGGCCACATTTCTGACACTGCACCCACAGCAGAAAAGCAGGGAGGGGGGGGTCACTCCTTCTCTTTAACATCAGAAGTAAATAAATATATAACTTCCGAGTGCGTCGATCCACATTTACTGCACACATGAAAAGATATCCAAAGTGTTTCAGCTGGGAATCCGTCATTTAAAAACGTCCTCATGGTCACGTTGTCTTGAGGGTGAGAGCTGTTCTGAAAGCCGGTTGGAAAACTGCGCTCGGATTGGAAATAATGTTTCTTAGAGACGCGTTTAGAGGGTCTCACCTTGATGGTCAGCATGATGTGCGTGTGGCTCTTCAGCACCTCCACCGCACTGCTGTGACTTATGTCCTCGAAGCTCACGCCGTTGGCCGCCAGGATCTGATCCCCCATCTTGATTCCGTTTTGCTCGGCCAGGCCGCCCGGATCCAGCCTGAGACGAGAAAGAGCCACTCGGGAGTTGATCTACGACTTGCCAGAGCCAGAAAGTGAAAAAAATGTTTGACCCCGTGCTTGTTTGAAACTGATACTGGGAAATTATGTCTCTGCCGATCAGTAAGGGACTCCAAAAATCCTCCTCCGAGCATCTTTTATTTGTTGTTATTTTTGGTACATTTTCACCCTTTTTGTAGATTTTCTACAGCAGATGGCTCATGAAGGAAAACTAATTTAATTTAGAAACATTAAAAAAAAGTGCTTCTCCATCTTCCTGAGGCCGTTCTACCTACTTGGAGACGTAGATGCCCAGGCCGAACTCCTTTCCCCCTCGGATGTTGAAGCCCAGGCAGTAATCGTCGGAGGTGGTGTAAAGGTGGACGATCCTTTGCAGGGCGCTGCCCGAGCTGGCCTCTGAGGGCGTGCGTCCACTCTCCTCCACCACCATACGCCTGTGTATCAGGTCCACCCTGAGGGGTGGACAGGACGTTGGTTACCGCCTCACATACCCCCCAGAAGAAGATCCCTTATCAGTTGTTTTGGTATCGGTCTAAAAAGGGGACCACTCACCAGGTGGTCTTCTCTTTGGAGTAGCGGATCCCGGGGACTTTTCCGACCCTCCTGACCACCATCCTCAGCCTGTTGTTGCCCGTCAAGACCTTCACAGCGCTGCTCATCGTGATGCTCTCCAGGCTGACGCCGTTCACCTCCACCAGTTTGTCTCCGACGAGCAGCCCCGCCTCCTCTGCCGCCCCACCCCATCCCCCAGCATGTATATGTTTACTTTCATGAATTTAGCAGGCGTTTTTATCCAAAGCGACTTACAAAGTAGACACATTGTTACAGATATCATCAAGTTCTCTAGAGGAAAATCCCCAGTCAGAGTCGGTGGTGAGAGCAAAGACGGGCAAACGGCGGCTCACCCGCGGTGCTGTTGTCCTCCACTTTGCTGACGAAGATGCTGAGGCCGTGCTCGGAGCCCCCCCGGACGCTGAAGCCCAGCTTTCCGTCCACGCTCTTGTCGACGGTGATGGTGTGGAGGTCCTCGCTGTCGTCTCCACCTAGAAGCACCAGAACAGGGGGTTACGGACCAGGAGGGCGGCCTCTTTCTTGAGCCCCCCTGGAGAGCTGAAGAGGGCCGAAGCTGAGCCGACAGCAACGGCCCTCAGACCACACAGAAGTGGGGGGAGCAGCATCATGTTCCACCCACTGGTTTGTGATCCATAGTTTTGAAGCTTTTCGACTTTTTGGGGGGTTTTTTTGGTTTACGTGAGGACTGATTTAAAGAGTGAAGCATTAAAATTCACCCGGAAAAAAAAAATCGGATCTTAACGGATTAATCTAGAATCAATGAGCTCACTTCAGTATAATCCAACGCTGATCAGATGGGTAGAATCTGCCCGATTACACCCATGATGTCTTGTAGGAAAACTCAATTATCTCAGGTTCTCTTTGAGTTGATGCTTTTTGACAGTCTGTTGAAGCCTGCTGAGCTTCAACAGCCTGGTCAGCAAACACCAGGTCAGCATCAGGACCCAACAAGCACCATTTCCCCCCTTTTTTTTTTATTTTAAAACCACCTTCATTCAAGTTTCATATGCTCACAGGAGTCCCTGAGCCATGTGGTTTTTCCAGACTCAGAGCGCGTTTCATCCTCACCATCGACAGGAGAGTTGATGAGGATGACCCGGCCCATGGGTGAGGAGGACCGGATCCCACGCCGCCGCTGCTCCTTCTTGCGCAGGAGGTTGCGCGCGGCGGCGTGCGGCCCCTGGCCCCCGGGGGCCTTCTCCCTGCGGGGCCCGTCTGAGGAGTGAGCCATGGGGGTCTCCTCCCACGCACGCTCCACCGGGGGCTCAGCTCCACCGGGCGGAGGAGCCTGCGGACCATCGGACAGTCTGGGGGTGAATGGGTGGGGTTCGGGGGGTCATCTCCAAACATGTGAAAACATCTGGACGACTCCAACTTACCCACACAGGTTACTCTGTGACATGACAACGGCCCGTTTGCATTCCTGGAGTCACTCTTTTGCCCATATCCCCCCATAATGCATCTCGTTCACCTGTTTGAGTATCAGAGAGAAAAAAAAGAGTCACATCCCAGAGGTCTCACTCACAGGAAGAGCAGCAGGTGAGGTCAGAAGTTGGATTTGTCTGGTTTATCTCTGGCCCGCTTGAGTCAGGGGGTCACGTGGCATGGCTTACGTGTGACTACACGTAACCGGTGAGAAGTGCGTTGACATGCCTCCTTTCCCCTTTGGGCTTTCCCCACAAAGCACCTCGGACAGCGACACCGAACTGCGTCAAATTGCGCGGAAGCGCCAAATACGCAAAACTACGGTGCGTCAGATCACACCCGTCTTCAGCATTTAGAGTCAATAGAGTTCAGAGGACACGATGCATCAAAGGAAATACGATAAGGACGCCAACAAATACTTACCACTCATGTTTTTTTTGTTGCGTTTTTAAGTCCGAAACCCCGCACAAAAAGCTCAGACTCCAAATCCGGAAGCGTCCATCGCGTCTCTAACGGTCACCCCGCGCTGCTGACAAATGACGCCATCAGTGTTGGATTGCATACCTGTGTCGGGTCGGCGTGAAAGGTCTGAGAGCACCTGACAGGGACATTTCTGTCCCCCTACCTGCCCTGAAGCCACGTGGATTGGCTGGATGGTAATTAAAGCCAAGCGTCTGATTGGACGGCTGTTGCGTCCATCTGCTGACAGTAGGAGCTCAAAAAGGTCAGGCCCGTTAGATAAAGGGGCAGAAATAACAGCAGGGGAATGAGGAATAAAAGCAGACCACTATCTGCGTGGATTCTGTCATTTCCCTGAAAGCAGTTTAAACATTGTGACCCTTTTCTGGATGGATAATAAAACTGTGAGGGGCGATGAACAAACAATAAACAGCCAGAAAAGCTTAGTCTGTAGTTTTCTTTGTAAATGCTTGGTCCCACATCCTGATTAGAGTGTAATCGTTTGCCTCAGAAACAGAATGGACAGATGTTTCCAGCTCTCAGCTTCCACAACTGCATGAGTGATATAAGTCATAGACTCATTTACAAAGCCAAGTAACATTTTTTTTTAGCTGTAGTTACATCGAATGTATCAACAACTTGGAAACAACACAAATGATAGAACCCACATTTCCTCCACATCTGCTCCTCTAACAGTGTGCCATCATTTGACTTGTTTAATCATAACTACGGCGCAAAGACATATCTGTGACTTGTCAAGGGCTAAAAAAGTCAGGCAATATACACACCACTGAATTTTCATGCATTAACCAGTAGTGTGACTCTTAATCTCACACAGGCTTTATTGAGGACGATGGGAAATAAAAGGGCATTAGAACCACACTAAGCTACGCTAGCTCAACCCAATTAGCCTCATTCAGATAACAGCTTTTCTGTTATCTGGTGTCAGATGACTCTGGCAGTTTTCAGAGCAAAACCATGAGCTCTGCCTCCATCAGCTGATGCCCTGCTCATTACTGGAGCTTCTGGTTGGATGCAGAAGCCCATGAAAAAAAATATCAGTGACTCTTTTGTCCTCCATTGAATCTAAGTAGCACAAATACAGCATTTATACTCCGAAAAACACCAGGAAACATTTAATCACATCGATGGCCTAAATGTGTTCAAATCACTGCTTGAAACTTTAAATTACTTGTGTTCATATTTCCTTTACAAGTCATCCAAATCCCCCCACATACAAAAAAATAATTTTTTTTTAAAAAGTGCTTCAGCGCCCTTGAACTGGTGTTTGACTAAACTTGAATCTATTTGAAACAGATGTGAAATTATAAACATAATGCAGCACTAGCCTTCTTCAATGTGGATATAAAACAAACAGGAAAGTTGGAGTTCTGACTGAACTGTAATAAAACAGCAGCTGAAAACAGGCTGACCCAATATTGGGAAACTTGTTTATCTTACACCCTCCAACCAGAGGAATTTGGATGGCTTTCATCCCAGAGAGCAACTTCATGCTTACAGTCAGTAATAAGAGTCTGAAAACACAGAGACTGGTTTTATTGTTTATAAGGTCACAGTTCCCGGTTCCCACGGCAACACAGCAGCCTCACTGAGCAACACAGGAGAGTGGACGTTAGACATCGGGTCCGCTTCCTCCGTGGAGTTTAAAGACGGACCGTCATGAGCACGTCCAAAGCCTGATGAAGGCAGCAAGGCCAGCCGCGCCTGGTTTCCAGGACACCAGCACTTTAACAATATCACCAGTCTTCTGCGCGCTTTACGTTGTGTGTCCTCTTCCAACGCGACACAGCCTTCTGCAGCTCGGACACAGAGTGGGTCACTTTTCTAGAGCTCCTGTGCTATTCTTCTGGCAGCTTGGAGGACTTCTGGGATATTGGCTTTATCTCCAAACTCCATCTCTCTGTGTTCCAAAAGGATTCCCTGCAAGAGAAAAAAAAAAAAAAAAAAAAAAAAAAAAGTTTTAAAGCTCCAAATCTGTCGACCAGGACTTTGACTTTTACGGTGAAGGAAAGTGTTTTACCTGCTGCCCTCGTCCGATGACGAAGACCCCACCCAAGACAAAGCCCTCTCCGAACACGTTTCCGATGAAGCCTTTCCTGAAGGCCCGCAGGCCGCTCAGCCACACTCCCAGACGCATGAAGGCCAGCAGCCCCATCCGCCGCTGACGGGGGCCGTAAAAGCGCCTCTGTCAGGAGAGCAGAACCCCGGTCAGTCAGCAGGAAGAACTGGTGAACCTGGTCCCAGGAGGAAGTCCGAGGAGGCTCGGGGAGGAGACGCTTACCTTTTCGTCCAGGAAAATCTCCCCCTTGAAGTACGGTCGGAAGTTCTGGACCTCGGTGCCGACGTCCTCCTTCACCACGGCGTACAGAGGGACCCCCAGCTGGTCCAGCTGGGGTTTGAGAGAGGACAGCTCTGCAGCCTCCTGAGGACAGAAAACACCAGCGTTCAGGAACTTTCCCCCCTTGACCTCATTCAGCACCATTTGGGAGATGCTCATTTACAGATTTTTTTCCTACTTTACACACAGTGCAGTTACACTTATCAGAAAAGTTTTTTTATTTAAAGAAATGTATAAAACTAATTTGAATCTTAGTTTTCAACATCCCACATTGATACAATGGGATAAACATGTTGAGGCTTATATAAACTTTGCTGGGGATGCGTTTTAGACGCAATATTTGGCTCTAAATGTGTTAATCTGGGTTCAGAGCCATCACAGATTTTAGGGTCAAAAGAAAAGGCAGATTTTGGGCCACATGTAAAGGGTTCACTCAGCCGAAGTCCATTCAACAGCCAGTCAAAAAAAAAAGGAAAAGAGGCTGAATTTAGGCTCAGAGTTTAAGAGCCAACAATTCAACCTGTGATGTCAGGCAATCTTTGAAGAGAAAGAGTCAACCAGGAGCTGTGCGGCCCCAGTTTCCTCTGAAGTCATCACCTCTCTGCACAGAAATCATCCCGGACGTCGCACCGCCATGACAACGGCCCCGGACCTTTCCCACAGAGACTTGGCCCTCACAGTCTTTATTTCTGGAGGAGAAAGTTGTGCAAGAGATTACGCGCATTGCAAATTCAAAATTCCAGCTTCACAATGGTCTCTTTCTGAGCGCTGCGCATGCGCACAGGGGGACCCGACTCACCTCCCGTCAGCGTCCGGAGCTCTGTCTCCTCCAGGTGCTTCAGGGTGGCTTTGAGCGGCGGCGTCAGGAAAATGTCGGTGAAGAAGTTCAGGAAGCCGGTGAGGAGGCCGCTCACGGTGGCCACCGCCTGACCAACCAGCCCCATGCTCAACTCTGCTCTGGACGCGCCTTCACTGACCCGGGAGCGAATTTAAACCCCAGCTGGATTCCCCCACCCGAGAGGTCCTCAGGCCCCGCCCCCTTTTAGTAACGCGATATTAATCAGACGAGGCTGATTAAAAGCAGCTGTGTCATTTCCCGCCGGTCGCCATTTAATTTAATCATGGAGAGACCTGGGGAAAGTCTCGTTAGGAAACAGTGGCGTCGTCACCCACAGGCTGGCTGGCCGTCTGGCGTCCCTCCGGTTCAAAGGTCACCGGACAGGCTGGAAAACTGCAGCGTCACTTCACCAAGTGTCAGACATAACAGCAGTTACTTGGAGGGTTATGAAAACCTTTAAATCTAGTCACGCTGAGTCAGACTGCGTAGGACTTTAACAGGAAGATGTTGTTTGGTTAAAGTTATGACAGTGCTTTGGGATTTAGTCTAAACTTTAGATTTAGGTTTCATCCCAGGATAAAGTCTCTTATTCCATTTATTCTCAGTTTAACATGCGAGAGGCCACTGGCTTCCCACCTCTCCCACATGTTTGGATTTGGACTGTTTCAGTCGGAAGCTCACACCACTGATTCAGAAAACAATATAAGTTTATTCACAAATTATAAAACAAAAACAAAGAAAATAAACAGTGAATGCTTGTTTTTATTATTTTGAATGTGTTCATTTACATGCAATGCACAATGTTTATCAGGCCCCGATAAATCTAATAAACCCTGATCGACGTAGAGTTGCTCATGTTTGGTCAGCTTCCACTTCATCATCCTGAAAGACACCACAGAGCTTGATTACAAATGAAAGCCAATTTCAGTGTCTGCTGTTTGTTATCAGCCTTTCAGGGACTAATTTAGGCCCCTTTTGTTGACTCACGGGTCTGGAGCTCTGCTCTGTTCCCTCTGGGTCGCCCGTTACTGGAGCCGAGCTATCAGCGCTCTCACTCACATGTTGTCCCTCGTCCTCCTGATGTGAGGTGGCCAAAAAAAAAAAACGGTTAAGCATTTCACTGTATATTGGATTTCTATCTTTTGAAAATACCTTTTCTCATCGATGGGTTAAATTGGAAATATTTGACATATCAAATGAGGATCCAAATGGGGAGACTGAGCGGTGAGTCACCTGTTCCTGAACGGGCGAGCTTGGTTTTTGTGTTTCCTGTTCGGACTCAGCCCTGATCTCCTGGTCATCACTGGGAACTGTGGCCTCTGGTTTCAGATCCTCGCTCTGTGGAGCTAAAGCTGGATCTGGCTGGATGGAGTGTGCAGGTTGATCAGATTCTTCCTCATCTGCCTTTTTGTGTGGAGCAGAAATGGAGTGGAGTAGATCAACAATAACACAATTAGTCATTCATGAAAATAAAAAAAGGAAAAGAAGGCAATGTTTAAACAGTTATAGCACAGGCGAGAAATGTATCATTCTGTAATTTCTGTCCCTGTTGTGTTTTTTACTGATTAGCCGCCGGCCTTCAGAGTGTCCCTCGTGTTCTGGGCCTTGTTTTTAAGTATCTGGCTCCTCTTTGTTACGAGCCTATCAGTGGTGTGACCCGTGTGGCCCTTCTGTCTCCTGAGATGTGTCCAGATCCAATAATTGTAGCCTTGTCCTGTCCCTTGTTTCTTTCTCAAAGCGGCCACTGCTGCTTCCTCTGACCCTGTTCCCTCATCAACGTGTGGTCGGCTTGAAAAGCATAAAGAAGTTCAACATTCCTTTAACAGAAGACGAAGACTCAGTAGAGAGAAAGACCAGCCACCTTTTCCTGGCCCTGCTGAAGGGGGGAGGCGGAGTGTTCGGCCCCCTGTTCAGTTTCTGTTGTCAGGTCTTGGTTCTCTGCTCTGGGGTCCTCGCTCTGAGGAGCAGAGGCCGCCTCCACTCGGCTGGAGTCTTCAGGTTTGTCGCTCACTGCCTCATCAGCCTTGTAGCGAGGGTTAGAAAAGTGGTTGCGTTAGATCATAAATCACAGCCATCCTGACGCTTTCCCTTCTCTTGGCCTGACTCGTCTTTCTTCTCCTGTAGAGCTCAGCGCTGACTTCTGCTCTTAATGCTCCTCTGTGCTTTGTTCCTAACTGTTTTCTCTCTCCTCGTCTTTAAACTGAATCCTCACGCTGAAATCCAGCTTCTCCATCACATGGGAAATATCTCATCTGCATCACCTTCTCTGTGTGTGCGGGGTCAAAGATAAGGGGACTCTGTTTGTTTTGTGGCTCCTCGGACTCATTGGAAGCGCTGGCTTCTTGTCTGGGAGTTTGCGTGGCGTGGGTTTGCTCGGGTTCGGCAGTTTCAGATCGACCCGCCACCTGCAGAGCATACGTGAAACTGAACGATCAGCTGAGTTATCGTAGCATCACACTGTCATATAAAAGACAGCGAATAACCTCTTTCTGACAATTAGATCTAAATCAACAATAATTTCCCAAACAAACTGTATTAATATGATAGAATGTTCAACAGATTTATAAGATGGGTCGGTCATGTTTCTTCACCTGGTCCTCATCTTGATCACCGTCTGTCACCTCTTTTTGACCCATGTCCGCCGGTTCCTCTTCATCTTGATGAGCGCTTGGCTCCTTCTCTGCTTTTTCTCGTTCCTTAAATCATCACAATCAGCTATGGAGTCATTTGAATCATGCAGCCGAATACTTTTTTACCTCAGTAGCAGTCACAGATCAACAGCAAAGAACAAAAGCAGCCACCGCTTCCAGATTTCAGCTTTTTTTTTTTGGTCACCTCATCTCCACTGTCATTTTTTTGTGCTTCAGGGTGGTGTTCTCCTGTGTCTTCCTGGTTTTCCGGATCGGGGGTGGCTGTTTTTTCCTCTTTTAGAGGTTGATCGATCTCTGCAGCCTCTGCTTTGCTTTCTGTAGGCGTGTCAGACTCAGAGGGTTTTTCAGAGACCGGTGTGTTGTCATTAATCTGCAGTTTAAAGTGATTATGCGAGTAAAAACAAAAAAAAAACGTGCTAAAGTAAATGCAATGTGATAACAAACGTCAGAGTCCTTGTGTTTTAAAATATGCAAATGTAATTAAAAAAATTGTAAAGATTTTGTGCTTAAAGTTTGAATTAAAATGCAGTCTGAGTGATGGGTGGATTTTGTGCCATTTGATACTTTTTCAGAGTCGTCCAAAGCTTTGTCGATCTTCTGCTCCTCCTCCGGCAGTTTCTCTTGCTGTAAGGCCTCTTCTCCGATTCCGGCCTGCTCCTGCTCCAAATCAGCCTTCTTCTGCACACAGAAATAAAGATGCAGGGACGTGTTTTATCATTCTTCAGAGAGAAAACGTCCCTAAAGTGCCCAACGTCTCCAGCCATGCAGCGACTGACTGAAAGGAAAAGGTGAAGGGGTTTATGTTGCCGAGGAACCTACAAGCCCAAATCCCTCAGCCTGATGAGCTTAAATTGTCTAAGCCTCTGTTATCCTACAACAGCTCTCAAAACCTGTTCGGGGATCAGGGTTTTAACGTGGTGGCAGCAAAAGCATGAGAACAATGGTTATTTTTTTACTGTATGTTATTTAATTGGGATTGCAACAGTAATTTATAAGAAACTGTTGTCATGAAATGTGTGTGGTATCATTTAAAGAAACACAAAAAAGCTCTGCTAGCCCCACCTGCACATCTGTGAAGGCACCGGTCTACTCTATTAGTAGAGTAGAAGTCATATTTGAACAAAAATAAATAAATAGAAACGACCCATCTGAGCGTTTGGAGATGCTGTTTCATAAGAAGTGTGCGGTGTAATGCTGCCCCCTGCTGGTAGGAAAACCAAACAGCAGCTTACCTCCCTCTCGTTTCCAGCGTCAGAGTTGTTTTTGTGGAGCCAGTGAGCCAGGTACTGGATGGGGTCCACGGGTCTCTGCTCGGCCACTTCAGCCAGTCCCTCCGTCAGATATTTCCCCAGATGTTTCTTTATGTACTCGGAGTCCATGTTTCTTATGGTTAAATAAACGTATTTAAAACACTTCAAACACTTCAAGACCCGCTCATCAAATGGAAAAACGCGGTTTGGTAAAAGGAGAAAACGGAATATTTTGGCTCTTCCTTTTTTTTTTTTACGGTTGTTGCTTATCCGTTTTTCTGTCTTTCTGTGTTTTCTTTTTTTGGCCCAAATTATACGCAGCACTTCCTCAATAGTTCAACCTTAGTCAACCAACCAAAAGAAAGAAGACAAACCTGATAGCTGCGCGTCTTCTGTGAGATGAGTTTCTATGGTAACGGTCCCACACAGCTAAAACTCCGGGTAATCTGTTCAAAAGGTTCCTACCTCAAACAAAAATTAAAGTTATGTGAAAATACTTTAAAAAAGTGAAACAATAACAATGCCGAAATAATTCAGCAACTTTTATTTTACCATTGTAATTCTTAGTATGAATAGGACAGAAAATTATCAATAAATCCACAGTACAACGATTTGATAACAAATTCATGCATTTTTATTCAATAAGTGGACATATTCACACAGTTTCTTAATATGAATATTAGAACATAACTTTAGAAATATTATCTACTACAGTTATTTCTACAGTTTTACACTCCTGCACAGATATACATCTGCTTTGATTTAACTAAAACAAATGGGCGTTTGAAATGAATCCTCATCATTTGATCTTCATGAGAGCCTTTATATAGGTCATCCCTAATTTCCCACAATGTAACAAAATGCTGAAAACACAGACTTAGGGATGTGCAAATGGATCATTAAGCAGTTGCATTAACAAATCCTCGGGGCCAGTTAATTGTGATTGGTGCTATGATTACATGTGTTGTGCACCGTGTCCTGAAACCAGGCCAGTTTGCTCACATGGGAGAGGAGAAGGTGGGAAAATTGCAGCAGTTGCTGTTTCCAAGAAACAGATGACAGCCAGTTAACATTTGTAATCACAGATATCGTTTTCCGTGTATAATCATATTACACACCTATCGGACAAATATAGCCTTCATCTCAGTGGATCGACACACTCAGATTGTGCATTTACTTATGCAGACGTGTACTTCTCATTGTAAATAAATATATATTTCTAATCAAATTGAATAAGAAATGTGGCCTCTTTACAAGGTAAGTGGTGAATAATGTGATTTTCCAACTGATCTTAACAGACAACAGATACATTAGGTTCACATAAGGGCTCTTTTGTTCATCATGATATGCAGAATGAAACGTTAAAATTTAAATGTGTTACTCAGGTCATGTGTCTTTGCTACTTGCAAAGAATAATAAAGAGTTGTGGGGCAAGTAAAGTTTAGATTTGGAAACTGATACTGGTGTCATGCTGCCATCTTGTGGTTGATTTTTTGGGGTGATTACTACACACATGCTTAACTTCCATTCATCAGTTTCAAGTACTGAGCTTGAAGTACATATTCTAAATTAAACTTAAATAACCTAAGTCTAACATTTTGTTGGAATTTCAGTTATTACTGCTTTCAAGCATACTTTGAACACACAAGTTCATATCTTAATTAATTAAATCTTCATTTGCAAACAGTAAAATATGTTTAATGGCTGCAGCCAGTGTAAATTACATAAAAATGGCACATTCATGCACACAGACAATTTTTGTTGATGAGGTTTTGATCCTTAATTACCTTGTCCAGTCACTATTGTCCACTGCGGGCGACAGAACAGTTTTGCGAATTGGTGAAAGTTTTAAAAGAACAAAAAACACCAACTTAAAGTGGGATCCGACTATGAAGTCTGTTCTCCGTTTAGTTAAACAAAGAAGAACACAACAATACGCAATATAAATGAATAATTCAGGGTTTCAGCATCTGAATTAGTGCAACTGATGAGCATAATGTAATTAATACATGTTGTGCTCTTGATGGTTCGGGTAATATGATGTCAAGATTTATTTTGGATAATAAATTTCCAATGCCATGCAAAGCGTTTAACTTTGTAACGCAAGCTATTCCCAATGGATTCAACACGTGGGCCAAAGATGATAGATAGATTAATGGATGAAACAAAGTTCCCACTTGTCCTGGAAGGTGTTCAACCACTTTACTTTAAGTATCATATAATTACTGTGGAATTAATCTGTTTGGCAGCAAAACAAGTCTAGGTAAAAATAAAGTAACTTGACCTTACCTGATATTCAAAAGCTTTTCCAAAATAGGAGCTAGAACACTTTTAATTCATGTATGAATCCCTGTATGAATAAGTTAGCTAAAACTGGTTTTATTAGAATTATTACAGTAGAACCAATTTTACCAGAGCAAAGGTGGACATTAAAATCCTCCACAAAAGATATCCTGTCAGCAACCCAGGTCTCAGGAGCAGGAAAACACTGAGGCAAGTATTCACAATTTCTACAATCATGTCTCATTTGGTAATCTGTTTTTGGGTGAAAAATTTATGTTAAATCTCAACTGAGAATTGAACATTCTGTTGAAAGTTTCCCTTGGTAAAAACAAATCTTTTGCTATATGTAGTAATGTAAATGTACAATTTGCCATTTTCAAAATCCAGAAGAAATCTTGACTTTCAAACTATTAACAAACAGAAATGTTCAAAGTCCCCTCCTGAATTTCACTTTTGTAAGACTTTTAAAAGTAACTTTCACTATGAAACATAGGAATCGCTAATGAATTTATTGGACTTTCTTCCCAGTCTGTCCATATTTTTCCTCTTTCATCACCATTGTTTTACGTCATGAATTTAAAATAGTTTTGGCTACAAATCTGTTTCATACTTGATTAACTCATTTATCTTGTGTGCTACATTATCCCATTTCCATGCACATTCTTAATTGTCAGCCTGGATTGAAAATGAATAAAATTCCGTGCCCTGTATAATCAACAGGGGAATTTAGATTTGTGAAAATAACACACAATCAAAAATAAACCTCTGGGCCAACACATATCTGAAAAGGATCTCGCGTGAGCGTCAGGTGAAGACGCCCAGGTCGGGGGGGGGGGGGGGGGCGCTGGGCCCTCGGACCCCGCAGAAGCCTCCTCTTTCTCTCTCACCCACCGGCTTTGGAGTGAGAAGGTGGTGAATGCGCCTGACCTATGGGAACGCGCGGACCAGCGACCAGCTGTGTGGGAACAGGGGGGTGGTGGGGGGGCAACTTCTCTGCCGAAGTGTCAAAGGTCTGATCTGATCCTACCTGGAGCAACTCCTCCAGTTTCACTGCCTTTACGCACTGTGCGTCAGCAACAGCTGTCCCGCAGCCCCGCGCCGGGCGCCAGAAGGAGAGCAGTGCGCTCTCGGTGTTGGACTTAACAGAAGACTTGATTCCCACCACCCCCCCGCCCCCAGGTTTCGCGGATTCTTTGGAAATATATTTGCTATTGTGTAAGGTAACGCGCCACCTGCCTGCCGCCGTCATCCACGACGAGCTCCTGCATGTGCGTGAAAGTGGGAGAGTTCCCCGACAGGCTGCAGAATGTCTGGTTTTCTCTGACAGGTTCGGAATGGCTTTGATGATTATTTACGTTTTGCCTCTGGTGGGGAGTTTATTTTTAAGTTGCCCTTTCTTGGAATGAAACAGACCAATTGGGCATCTTTCTGGTTTTATGGTTTGGAGGCTATTTTTCTGTAGCCAAAGGATTTGATTTCCCTCCTGCTCATTCAGAGGTGACACCACCGATTTCTGTAGAGTCAAGAATGTGATATTTGCTCTTTTTCTGGGAGGCTTTCGTTTCTGAAACGCGCAGGCTTGGTTGTTTGTTGCCATATAATCTCAGAGAGTGTCTTTACTTGAGTCATAAGAATGGGGCTGTAATTGATCTGAAGCCACTGAAGTCACACGGAACATTCACAGCAGGGTCTGGTCATTTGGGTCTGACCAAGCGTGCGTTTGTTTTGTGTTGTGGAGTTCAGTGTTTGGCCGCGCCTCAAGGGCAGATCTTTAACCCGGACAATGTGAACGAACATCATTATCTGACGTTGCCACCTGCTGAGCCAATACTCCTAAAGGCCCATTGCTTTTCAACCTTCTCTCCACCCGCCCCCCCCTCTCCATTATGTCTACTCCCACAGGGGCAAAGGCTTATATTTAGCCCATGTCTTCATGGCAGAAGGGCAAGATACTGTGATGCTGTGGATGCTCATACCCAACCGTTTCTCTGCTGTTAATCTATGTTGCCCGTCTTAACGGTTTGGTACCGTGAAGCTCCACGCAACTCTTTGGACACGACGAAGAACACAGAGAGTAGTGTTCATCTTAGGTCCTGTCCTCAGTCCATCTAAAACTCTGATTGAAAGAACTGACCCTAGTGTAGTTAGGCTAGTAGAGATTTTAAACAGGGATGGGGTCTATAAGTCGGCCTTTTTTAGTTTTTTTTGTCAGTTGTTTTGCATATTTTAGAAATAGTTTTGAACATTTTTTTAAACAAATTAAACTGGGGTCTTCTGGCCCTGGCCCACTCCACTGACATCCTCTATGTAGGGAGACGGTATAAAATGATTTTGTCTCAGGTTCAGAACATTTCTGATGCCTGCTTCTCCTGGAGTGTGTCTGTGTGTTTTGTATATCGCGTTCTTGGACGCCAAAGGTGTCGGTTTTAAGTTTCTTCTTAAGTGAGCCTGTGTGACCTCTTGGCCAGGTCTCTGTATTTTCCATCGTATTTAAAAGCTGGAGTAAGGTGAGCGATAAGAACTCATCGGTCCATTTAACAGTAAGTTTGTAAGACATTATTATCATGACACACAACATGTTTTGATCATGGGCCACTTTTTCAGACATGTCTGTTTTGAAGACTCTGCTGGTGTTTTTGATTTGTTAAAAGCTCCCCCCGGTTCCCCACAAGCTGGATGGAATATTCTCCACATTGCTTCCATGTGTGATGCAGGCCTGCTCAGATTTCTGGACAGCGGCTGCGAAAGCCAAATGGGTCAATTTGAGACGGCAGAAATCTGTCTGGAAACTCGTAAGCTATATTCAAGAACATTTATTATTTATGCAAATGTTGCTAATTCAACAGCTTTCGTAATTCAGAAGCTTGTATCGGAAACTGTGGATTCCTTTGAATGAAAAGGCTGATTCTCTAGGAACGTGACCGTGGCATTGTGCTGCTTTTATCCAAGAGACGCAGATTGTTCCGCAGATTGATCCGCAGATTGATCTGGATTTTTTAATCAGTAGAGGTCCATCTCTCTGTTGGCGACCTCTGGCTTCACCAGAGATTACAGCATATTTTCACAGCTCAGCTCCTTGGTGGATGGAGTTATTACAGGGACTGACAGCAGCTGTCTTCTTGGCAGTGACATCCTGCATACAAAGATTAAATGCAACTGAGTGCACGGTGCGTCTATCTGATGAACACATCAAAGATCCAACGGACTAGACTCTGAGGAACGTCTGAGCTGATCGTTATTAGCTGGCCTGAGCGTGCTGATAGGATTCGGTCAGGTCACATGGTGGGAATTAGCAACAGGTGGGGAGGCCTGTTTCCATGCGGCTCCCTGTGGGGTTCGAGGTACAGGGTTAACTGGTGGGCGACAGGGTGTAGAAGCAAGCTGCGAGAGAGCAAACAACAGTGTTGGGATTTGACCTCGTGAGAAAAACAAGGAACAGGAATGTGGCGAGGGACCAAAGACACATAGATGGAAACCCTTGTTTGCTCTGTAGACCTCCATGACTTGGTAAAAACGAGGGGGCCTCAGGAATTGTGGTATAACTCCAAACATTTTGAGGGCACCGGAGTTAAGCCAACAAGTCATTATTAAAATATTTATTTAAATCCATGTTAACCAAGGAATGGTGTCAACATTTTCTATACCGGTGTGCTTGGATCTCTTTAAGTCCATTTACATGATTACACCAGGTGGTTTGAGTGCTTGGCTGAAGACAAGTGAGCCTCCACTGAGAAGGCACAACTTGCTCTTTCCGTGTGAACTCGGGCTGCCCTTGTGACAAAAGCCTAAATCTCATTGGGCTTGTTTCCAGAGGTGAATATTGGCATCCACATTCCATGGTTGTCTAGTGTAACGAAGAGAAGTCTACATTACCCGGCCTATACCCTCCGCTGGAATGTCACAGGTCATGTGGCCTCCACTGACATGCGAGCTGATATATATGTTACTGTCGGGGAAGGCTTCTGAAATCCAACTTTCCCTCCCTCTTCCTCAGTTTGCTACCAATCCACGGCATGGGATCGTGAACTCTAGTCATGCAACGAGTTGTCATCGGTTCGACTCCGAAAATAAAACCGGTGCTTGAAAGAGGCGAAGCAAATAGGTGAGAAGAACCTTCAAGAACTACAGCTGAGAACCTGGAGATGTCTGTTGGACCTCTAAATTACGCTTTCACGTGGAAGGAAAAGGCAGCTCAGATCATTCTGACGGGGGCTGCATGGTGGTGTGGTGGTTCGCACAGTTGCTTCAAAGCCAGTGGCTTCCCGTCTGAATAGGACCCGTATCATCTCTTATTGTGGCTTTTTCCCCAAATCCTCCTTGCTACGTTCATTTGGTGGCTCTAAACCTGCCCTTTGATTGACTGCTGACATGTCCATGGTGCGCCCTGCCTCTCACCTAATGGGAACTGGGATTGCCGCCCTGGATTAGATTAAATGGGTACAAAAGGACCAAGCGACTGTTTCAAACCAGCAGGCCTGTTATTCTGACATAACAGCATCGTCTCTCGGTTAAAGCAAGAACTTCACAGACAGTTCCATTCTAATGTGTCTTCAGGACCAAAGGAGGTAGAATGAAAACCGGCAAAGCTGAAGGAGAGTCTTGACGGTTTGTCTCGTGCCCAACATGTAAGGCTCACATTCAGTGATAAATGGTAACAATGTGTCAGGCCCAAGCATGAAAATTGTCGTCAGGGCTCCGTTTTCAATTCCTTGTTCCTCTGAAAAACTGTTTGTGGTCACATGAACCGTAGGGAGATGTGAAAGAGGATGTCAGCGTGTAGAAACGTGTATGAGGATGTTTATGTTTGTAGACTGAGGAAGGCCCAGTTCACAAGTGGTCCTATCGTTAAGCCCAGGTGACCTGATCAACCGGTGGTCCAGGATAAAGTTTTCTACATTTATCCAGCTGTTTGGCAGAATAAATACACATTGATAGTGAATTATATCTACAAAAGTATGTTTTAGTTTTTTTGCCATATCAAGAATATCTATATGCAGCCTGGACTAAATGAAGACACGCGCACATCTGGTGGATCTGCCCTGAATTGGGCTTAGTGGGTTTATAGTTCAGGTTGCTCATCAGTATCTGTCTCAAAGACTTTGTATGCAGAGCCATAATCACAAGTGGTCCTTAAGGGACTAGGACTAGTATTATAATACTAAAGTATTACCAGCACAACTTTAAAATCTAAACCACCTGCATGTACTGTATTTATGAGAGAAGTTAAGTGAAGAATTTAAGTGTTTGATAAATTTTTCTGCCCAAAACAGAATATGTAGTCTTTAATGTGGAATAAACCAGGCTGAAAAAACAGTTTCCATGGAGCTAAAACATATCATTTACACAAGTGACGTGCGAGACAAGGTAGCCGGGGCCTTTTTTGAGTTTGGCAAGCTCTCAGTTGAGGGACCAAGCTCCTTCAGAAAGGGATATTCGATGGCTTCGGCAGGACCAGCGTGATGTAATGCAATCAGGAAATGTTCCCCAGAAGCCGTGGAGAAACGCATCCATTCTCAGGATGTGTATTTTAAGGTTGGCTCATGGTGGAGAGCAGTGGGGCCCACAGCTCCCGGAACAGGGGTTTTGAAATGGGATGATGAGAGGGGTGCACGGCAGGGAGAGGCAGACATGTTACATCTGCTGCTCCATGGACATTAGTTGGTTACTTTTTCTGGCAGAATGAAATAAAATACCAACCGGTGCCGCTGTGAGTCTGCATATCAGGTGTTTGAGTAATTAAAAATGGCAACTTTGATGACCGACAGGGTTCAGATTAAACCCCTGTATGAAGGACGGACTCTGAGCCCAAAGTGTCACCCGGCGGGATGGTAGCACACCCGTGTGGCTGAGGGTGCAGAGCCGGAAGCTTGGTGTGTTGGGGGCTTTAGGTAAAGTAGAAGTTAGTAGAGAGAGGAGTCATCTCAGTAAGATAAGTTGGCATGGTGTCCTGTTTATCTGAGGGATGGGAGGCGCAGAGCGAGGACTCTGCCAGGAAGGAATGAGCAGAGTCATCGGGCTTCTGTAACACGACGCCGCGTCTTGATTGCCTGTAGCAGCTGTGCAGCCACCGTATCTCCCTGAGCGCGTGTGCCTCTTCACACGCGTACGGCTGCAGATTTTTATGTACAACTGAGGCGGTTTAAGCAAATATCGGCCAGCGTTGGCGAGTCCCTGACCAGCAGCTGTTACTCTGCATCAGCCAAACCACGCTGACCAGCAGGTGCTCACTTCTATGTGTCTTCTTATTATTATTTTTTGTGATTCCAGTTACACGAAAGCCCATTTCTGGAATACGAACTAAAAGTCTCCTCTTTGGAAATCAATTTTAGCTCTGAGCACCTGTTGTTTTTTTTTACATCATAAATAATGCAGACACACATAGCGTGCTAAGGAGATTGTGTCTTATTTCCTATTCTTTTGAATGGGCTGTTAGATAAACGAAGACAATCTGACCTCTAAACCATCTACATTGACCACTCAGTGACCCATTATGTTATGTTCATAATTACAGGCACTTGACTTTAGCTGGTCCAGACAAAATGTATCTTGTCTGTTAGCCAATCGCAAGTAAATGCAACTTGGACCCGACACTAAGGGTCTGCTTAGGTAATAAGCAATCGGATGTACACAAACACGGCCTCTTAAAGTCCAAGTGCTCGGCCTAAGTGCGTCTAGTCGTTTTGTTGCCATCTTGTCACTTTTATGTGCTGAAGCGAGGGTTGTTACGCCAGAGATGTGAGGCACGGGGCTGAGGGCAGGAACAAGAGAGGCTGAGGCTGTTTTGGCCCCCAGATAAGCGGCTTAGACCAGTGATCATAACCAACATGCTGGGTCCACGTGTACACATAAAGTTTTAGTACAGTATTTGTGCTAGCACAGTATTTGCTTACATTATCACATTAGCAGAAAGCGGCTTCCTTCAAAGTTAGACGTGTAACTCGAATATCTGCCATCAGAGGAGGCAATCTAGTGTTTCACATTAAGTAGTGATAATAGCCTGTTTGATATGTTTAACTTGAATATTTTGTTCAAGTGAAATGTATTGAACTAAATCTGCCTGTCATATTGTTTTGAGCATTTACACTCGTCTGGATTGTAAGAACTCTTTCATCAAACTGTGCCCCATCAGGTTTTGATTTAACAGACACAGATAATGTTTTAATCATTTGTCTTTGGAACATAGGCAAATCCTGTGAATCCTATGAGAAATGATACAAGTAGTCCTCTAACAGATCCAAAAAAATGATATATTGTCTTTGTGTTTTTAAGGAAAAACAACCTGGGGTCGATAAACCTAATAAACAAAAATACAGTCCGGCTTCCTTTTTTTCTTGCTTGGGTAGTTAAGGGCTGATAGACTATGATGTGACACTTTTAGAGTTATTTACACAAATGTTTTGACTTTTGAACCAAAGTCCCTGCAGAAGACCAATGTCCAGGGCTTTAAATTAAAGGGCCTTTCCTCTACCTGGTTTCAGGTATCAAAAACATTTTCACCCCTATTTGAATCCATTGGATGGGTGTTTCATACAGAACTTAAACCTAAACCATGCAAATATGTCATGAAAAACTGTGCTTTCTGATCGTCCTCTCTGCAGCTCCTTCTAGGGAAACCCCGGCGTGGTGGTATCCCTTCGCAATGCAAAGATGGCGACCCTGCTCCCTCCCCCAGGCACCGATGTCTTCCGCCCGTTCACCCGGGAATCACTGGAGGAGATCAAGAGGCTCGAGGTGGAAAGACAGAAGGCAGCAGAAGTAGACGTCAAGGAAGATGGAGAACCGGCTGCCCCTCACGCTGATCTGGAGGCAGGCAAGAGCCTACCCCTAATCTTTGGAGACCCCCCACCGGAGATGCTCAACACGCCGCTGGAAGACCTGGATCCCTTCTACAAGTCACAGAATGTCGGTTCAAAGAGCTCACACAACCCCATCATGTCAAACCATCTGTAATGATTGTATCCCTTAAGCAAAGCATGTGCTTTCACTTTTATTTAAAGTCTGCCGTCACTGTTTGGAAAAATGTCCTTCTGGACAGCTGCTTACATTTTAGAGATGATCTGTTTGTTTTTTTCAGACATTCGTCGTGATCAGCAAAGGAAACACCATCTTCAGGTTCAATGCCGAACCAGCCTGCTACATTCTGAGTCCCTTTAGTGTGATCAGGAGAGGAGCCATCAAAATTCTTATACATTCATATCCTTTCTAAGTGTTTTTTCTTTCACTGTGATTTGATGGATGTAGAGTGAAGATGCTCATTTTTGCTTCCTTAATCCTGGCTTAAGTTATTTAGCATGTTCATCATGTTAACAATCCTGTCAAACTGTGTATTCATGACGATGAGCAACCCGCCAGCGTGGAGCAAAACCGTTGAGTGAGTATATTATCTTATTTTTCTCTTAAGAATCAATCCTGCATTGTCTGACTCCCCTTTGATCGCTTGTTTATAGGTATGTTTTTACTGGTATTTATACTTGTGAGGCGACGATCAAAGTGTTGTCTCGAGGCTTCTGTATGGGACATTTTACATTCCTTCGAGATCCGTGGAATTGGCTTGATTTCATGGTGATCAGCATGGCGTAAGTACGAGTGGGCTGTCGTTCAAATGACTGCGTCAGTGAGAGGATTCAGATGAATGAATGATGCTGTGAGGTTTGGTCTGGTGTCTGCTCCTGATCATCTGTTTTATGTATCTCCACAGTTACGTCACAGAGTTCGTTGACCTTGGCAATGTTTCAGCCCTCAGAACATTTCGTGTACTTCGAGCCCTGAAAACAATTACTGTGATTCCTGGTACTCTCTCTGTTTTCTCATGTTTTTACATTGTGTGTTCAGCAGTTCAAATTTCTCTCCTGCTGCACTGGCAATTAGTTCCAAAATGAACAGGATAAGAGGAGTAGAAACTGTTTAATAGATGGGAGCAGCTACATTGACATAAATGTTTTGGGTTTAAACTCACATTTTACCATCTTTATATTTAACATATTTTCACTGTCTCTCCTTTCTTTAATGCAAAAAGTCATTAATGAATGTATGGAAATGTTAAATTACAAACGAGAAATAACAGATCCAATCATGTAGTGCAGAATAATCCAAAATAAAAAAAACCCTTTAATGAAACAGAAGCTAAAGGAAGCTCCAGTTATTGACTAATTGTGTTTGTGTTTGCATAGCCGTCACTACTTGTGTATGTCCACCTCTTTTCAAGATCTTTAGTTAAAGTGATTTAAAAATTCATTCTCATTTGTTGTTTTTGGGCTGTTTGACGTTCACTCGCATCGGATTTTTCCCCCTCAGGTCTGAAAACAATCGTGGGCGCCTTGATCCAGTCTGTGAAGAAAATGGTGGACGTCATGGTTTTGACCGTCTTCGCCCTCGCCGTTTTCGCTCTGGTCGGCCTTCAGCTTTTCATGGGACACCTGCGGCAGAAGTGCGTGCGATGGCCTATCTTTACCAATGAAACTGCATTTGAGTTTCCCAACGCCACCTCTGCGTTCAGCGATGCAGAGTACTTCAACACCACGATGGGTGCCAACGGCACAGCATATTCCAACAGCACCTTCAATTTTTTGGAATACATTGAAAACACGGGTATGTTTGCTTCATATTTCATCTGATCCTTTGTAATGTATCAACTTCACGGTGAAGCAAATGTAACTCTTTAGTTTCTTTTTGGATTATAGACAATCATTATTATTTGGAAGGCAGTCAGGATGCCTTACTCTGTGGCAACAGCTCTGATGCTGGGTATGTATTATCCAAAAATACATGGGAATAAAAATGCAATGAATCACAACAATTGCTTTTACACGACTCTTCCTTTTGATAGAAATTGCCCCGAGGGATATACATGCATGAAAGCAGGGAGGAACCCTAACTTTGGCTACACCAGCTTTGACTCTTTTGGCTGGGCCTTCCTTGCTCTCTTCAGACTCATGACCCAGGACTTCTGGGAGAACCTTTTCCAGCTGGTTGGCTCTTCTTTTTATTTGTGGTGTTTTGGTTTATGGGCTCTGCCTGTGAACATTGCAATTGTAAAATCAAAATCATGAGGGGATATTTGTCCTAAGTTCTTGTAGCTTCTTTTTTCCGCCTCTAACGCAGATTTTACGGACAGCTGGTAGGACATACATGCTGTTCTTTGTGGTGGTTATCTTTCTGGGCTCCTTCTACCTCATCAACCTCATCCTGGCCGTGGTAGCCATGGCGTACTATGAACAAAATCAGCAAAGTCAGCTAGAGGCCATAGAAAAAGAGGAGGAGTTCCAGAGGCTGCTTGAGCAACTCAAGAATCGAGAAGAGGTAATGATCGCCCATCCAGATCAGTATTTGATCCAGATACTGAAAGCCATCCATTCTATCAGATCAGTTGCGTAAGGACATGTATTTATACATCAGTTATTAGTAGCCTTTACAGGAATACCTAAAATACAAAGGAATAACTGGTGTTGCAGTCTCTTGTTACAGCAGTGTTTGCGGTAGTGAGACAGCTCTAAGCAAAAGTTGTTTCCTTTTCATGCTCTGTGTGAAGATAAATGCATGTTTTAGTAGAAGGTTTAAGGTCAATATTGCCAGCCTGGTAAAAGTATGTATTCAAATCCTTGGTGCTACATTTTGTACGAAAAGTGCTACTTAATTTAGCTCTGATGAGCTGCTGTGGGTTCCTGCCATGGCTCTGTGTTCTGAGATTTACCTTTGTTGAGTACTTCGGTACAACAGAAAACTAATCAAATCTCTTACCAAACAGGCTCAAGCCCTTGGAAGCCGAGCCTCTCTGACCAGTAGGAAGTCCCTCAGTCATCATACAATGTCTGAGATGGGAGATGAAGCTCAGACACCCAAACAAGAGGAGTTTGTAAAGGACTGTAACGGGAGAGTCATTCCCCATCTTATGGTTAGAGCACCTACTATGGATGAGGTTAGAAGATCTCACACCTCAAGCAGTGATTACCATTTCCTTCAAAGTTCAAGTCTGTCATTAACTTGCCCTTTTTAAACATATTCTACAGTCTGCTGCAGATTATGAACTCAGATCGAAGTCATTAGAGTCTGTGCACAGCATGCTTCACCTGGAGGAACCAGGCCTGACTAAGAGATCCATCAGTGCCGCAACTGTGCTTACAGCAACTGCTCTGGAAGGTACAGTGACCATGGAGCTAACACCCCACAAAAGATTTTAATAGCATGGAATTTAAGTGAAAAGAGTTGCTGATATGATAACATAAACCCTCTCCCGTGCTGGTCGAACGGAGGTGCAAAGTGCCTTCAGATGTTGAAGAAACACACAAGAGATAACATTAGATGCTCTAATGTGAGCTGTAATTGATTAGATTATCAAGCAGTTGTTGACATTCAGCACTGATTTATCTAAAGGCCAGTGCAGTAGCATTGTTTTAAGCTTGCCACAGTCTGGCTAATCACATTTTGTGCTGCAGAGATCCCTGTCGACATTCAGTGTCATGCCCTCCTGGTGTTAAGCTAGGGCTATTTCAGCCAAGTATGGCACGAATTTCAATGCTAGGCATTAGCTTCTCTATCAGAAGTATAAAGTTAATCTGAATAACCATGTCATGCATATCCACAATATTTTGAAATTGTTAAAATCAGACCTTCGGATACCTATTTTATGTAGGATATTACCTTTTCTGCTGCTGTCTGTGTTTGTCTAGAGTTGGAGGATGCGCAGAGGCCATGCCCACCTTGCTGGTACAGATTTTCAGACGTTTTCCTGAAGTGGAACTGTTGCGTGCCCTGGATTGTCTTTAAAAAGTGGGTGAACTTTGTGGTGATGGATCCCTTTGTCGACCTGGGTATTACCATCTGCATTGTGCTCAACACCCTCTTCATGGCCATGGAGCACTACCCCATGACCCCGGAGTTTGACAACATGCTTGCAGTGGGAAATCTGGTGAATATGTGACCATGTTTAGAGATGTAGATTGCAGCAAAGCAACGTTCCAGCATCAGTCAAAGTGAAATATATGTTTACTCCTGCAGGTTTTCACTGGGATCTTCACAGCTGAGATGTTTTTCAAGCTTATTGCCATGGATCCTTACTACTACTTTCAAGTCGGATGGAACATTTTCGACAGTATTATTGTAACTATGAGTCTGGTGGAACTGGGACTGGCAAATGTCCAGGGACTGTCAGTCTTACGATCGTTCCGTCTGGTGAGACAAAATGACTAGATTTATTTCAACCCTCTAAGAATGCAAGCATGTACTCCGTTCGTTCACTTTCTTTGTTTCGTTGTCCTGGCCTCTGTTGACAGCTTCGTGTCTTCAAGCTGGCAAAATCCTGGCCCACGCTCAACATGCTGATCAAGATCATCGGTAACTCAGTTGGAGCTTTAGGGAATCTGACTCTGGTGCTGGCCATCATCGTCTTCATTTTTGCTGTTGTGGGTATGCAGCTTTTTGGAAAGAACTACAAGGATTGTGTGTGCAAGATTTCCTCAGAATGCGAGCTGCCGCGCTGGCACATGCACGACTTCTTCCACTCTTTCCTCATCGTGTTTCGCATTCTGTGTGGGGAATACATCGAGACCATGTGGGACTGCATGGAGGTGGCCGGGCCAACCATGTGCTTAATCGTCTTTATGATGGTGATGGTCATTGGGAACCTTGTGGTGAGTCCAAAAAATGATCCATTCATTGACAATTTCCTCCATAAATTTCACCAAACACTAAGAAGCAGAAGGGAGAGCCACTTGTTGTGTTGAGCATCACATTACACAAAGATTTAAACTACAGGAGTATCTGCAAATGGATGATGGACACCTTTCAAGTGAATCTAAAGTCTTCCTGTATGTTGCCTGGGTAAATTGGTGTAAAAAGACACCACCCCTCATGGTGCTTTGAGAGAAATCATGAGCATCTGGACCATGAAAATAATGCCCCCGACCTTTAAACTTGGATTCACAGGACAAGGCCACACATACGATCGCTCTCGGGCATCATATTTAATTACCAGAGCCAAGACAATATTCTGTTGGGTTATTCATAGAAATAAAAAGGAAGTGGCTCATTGTCAAGCATCAACTGAAGCATTATGTCGCCCACAGTGTGCCAAATGTTTTTTTTTTTTTTGCTTCTTACGCCCCCCCCCACCCTTCACCAGTGTGCTCACCTCAGCGATGCACACTATTTACCCGAAGATGAAGCCATGCAGACACATAGATCACAGAGGGGTTTCTATTTAAATCAAATGACTCGAACAACCGAACAGTGGTTTTGACCTTGAGTATGTGCTAAGATCCGGCTCAAGTAAGCATGCTGAAGCCGAAGGAACAAACGCAGACAGCTGGGCGAGCAGGGCTCAGGTGGCAGGGGACTTACCGGGTGTAAAGGAAAAGTAATTTGATAGTAGATTGAGTAAATAATTAATGTAAAGGTAATCATATTGGCCCAGGAGCACTACGTTATACATATATTTGAATTAGTGCAACACTCTTTTCTTAATCGGATTATGAATAAATTCTCCTGGAATCAAAAGATCTTATTTTAATTTTTACGGACAGTTTGTGTTGTCAGTTTTTTATTTTCCTTGTGTATGTTTTCCTTTCCACTTAATTTTAGCGAAAATAAGGCACATGAACCGTCTCAAAGTTGGAAAGGTTGCAGCTTGTTGGGGAAAAAATGAGCTTACAATACACATTATGGCAATTTTACTAGAAAATCAAATAGAACTCCTGGGGTTTTATTGGGCCTTTCGACTAGATCACAGCATAACCGTTTTTAGAGTTGCAAACCTTTCCTCTGAGATAAGGAACTACATCTGCTTCAAAGCCAACTTGAGAATCCCACCAAAAACTCTTTGACCTTTGCCTTTCTTTCTGATCCTAAGTCTTTTTCCACTCCTTTGCAGTCCAGTTTGGTTTTGTGGAGCTCATTTTGACTGTCAGCCTTCTTTACTGATTCACAGCCCCTGATCTGGAATGAGAGAGATCAGCCAGCCTGTGTAACTATGATAACCTGCTAAACCCGGGAAACAGGAACTGAGAAATTGGCTAACAGAGTTAGGAACCTAAATATAGATGTGTCCGACACATGAGAAAGACAACACAATATTTATTGATGCGCCATCACAGGACCAATTTCACGTGTAATGTGGACTGGATCCGACCCAGAGTTTGGCGTTTGATTCATTGATGTTGACGCGCCTTTCCTCGGTGATGAGTGACTGTGAGCTTATACATAACTGTTTAACTTGCATTTGGTTTGTCTGTCAAATGGAACCCGTTTCCAAAAAGCTCTGGGTCAAATCAAACTTTATTTATAAAGCACTTTTCGTACAGAAGCGGCGGAAAGTACGTTACATCATTAAATCACCGCCACCCCAAAAAACATAAAGCTCTGACTCTATTCTCTTTCTCTTTAACTGAAATATAACTCTAAAGCAAAACTGGGAAACAATATCTTTGGGAACCATAACATTTTTTATGCTTTATTTTTGCCAATTTCTTTTAACTCAAAACATGGGGAGCATCGACGTATTGATTAATATTATTGCATGAAGTGGCAAAATAAATCTAACCATGTTGTGCTCTTAATACTTCCAAGAAAATATCAAGAGGCGAAGTAATAATAAAATGGGTGCGCGATGTTAGTAAGAAGTGAAACAACTCATGTGGAATGTAAAAAACGAGGGATTCAAAATGCTGTTTCTAAGCATTATAATTCTCCCCCTGAACATACCCAGACCAAAAAACTGCTTCCAATTTCAACTGTGGCGCCAGGAGTAAATGATCTGTGTTATACATTAGTCTTAAATATCAGAATCTGATTTCTGTCTGACACTCCGCCGTTTCATCCCAGGTGCTGAACCTCTTCTTGGCCTTGCTGCTCAGCTCCTTCAGTGGAGACAACCTCTCAGCGGGGGACGATGACGGGGAGATGAACAATCTCCAGATCGCCATTGGCCGGATCACACGGGCCATCAACTGGGCTAAAGCCTTTATTGTTCAAATGGTCCTGCAGAGTCTTGGCAGGAAGCCCCAGGAGCCCGACGAGGGCCCAGTGGATGAGGTTGAGTCTAAAATGGAGGCAATCGAAATGAACCATTTTGACAGCAATCAGACTTTAAAGCTGCCAGATGGGACTCAGGACTGTCCAGTCGAGAGCCAGCCCACCGGGTTTACCGTGGATGGAGAGCTTAATCTCAATGTGCCAATCGCAGAGGGAGAGTCAGACTTCGAAAATTTGAGTGAAGAAGACGACGATGGTGAGGATGATAAAGATGAGGATGACAACTCGGATGAAGACGAAAGACATCTCTTACCGGATGCAGTAAGAAAAACAGGCCAAATCTGTTTCCTTCATTAAGAAGCCACATCTCTATAGATAAGCTTGCTCTTTATTAACAATGAGAGTGCACAAAATTCCCATCTAACAAGTGGCCAGTTCAGTATTTCACCTTATTTCATGAAATCAACACGAAGATGTGCTATCAAAAAGCCAAAAAAGTCAGAAAACATGTTACACCTAACTCCAGCTACATGTTCAAACACTGTTCCGGTCAGCATATCTGAAATGAGCTGGTAGCTCACAATTAACTGATGTTTATGCCACCACATCAAATGTTCTGTAGTGGGACTCATGTTTTCAGCTCATTAAAATCTCAATAACTGGAAATCTAAAATCAGAACAGCTACTAAAACGGAATTTGTTTCCAGCATACTGCACATTTCTCCTGCTTCTTTTGGTGCTTAATGAACATGATTTTCTATTGGTTCACTGTTTCAGAAAAACTCAGATGGATCTGATATCTCAAGAAAAATCAGAGTGAGTAGCCGTAAACTGCATGGACCAAAGCAAACTGTTTTCCCAGGTGTTGCTTTAAGCCCCGGGTCTTCTAACCGAGCTTTAACTATGATTCTCAACCAGCTGATGGGTGCTGTGAATGATGAGGATTCTTCAGTGTGCAGCACAGCAAACTATCAACCGTCTGAGCCTGAACCAGATGAAATGGAGGAGGAGGAGCCCGACCCCATAGAGCCCGAGGCCTGCTTTACTGACAGTATAAGAAAACGCTACACAAACTAATCAAACCAGTTATAGAACGACTTCCCCGTATTTAAGAGTACCAAAAAATTCTTCTTCCGACCCGTAGGTGATGAAGTTAATGCACTCTTTGTTTCTTTCATCAGAATGTGTGCAGAACTGGCCGTGTCTTACTGTGGATATCTATCAAGGCAAAGGCAAGAAATGGTGGAATCTCCGAAAGACGTGCTTCACTATAGTGGAACATGATTGGTTTGAAACCTTCATCATCTTCATGATCCTCCTCAGCAGTGGAGCTCTGGTGAGAGCCGTCATCAGCAGAGGAACTTCAGAAACGTTCAGGGATAACCTCTAACAAAAACAATTAGTTTGATTAATTTTTGAGTGGAATATCTTCTTTCCACAGGCTTTTGAGGACATATACATAGAAAAACGCAGAACCATCAAAATCATGCTGGAGTTTGCAGACAAGGTTTTCACCTACATCTTTGTCATTGAGATGCTCCTTAAATGGGTTGCATATGGATTCAAGACCTACTTCACCAACGCTTGGTGCTGGCTAGACTTTTTCATTGTGGATGTAAGTCTGTTGTCGTGTTTTATTGCTCGCGTTCAGGTGGAATTTGTAGCAGATAAAACGCATGACCATGTCCTATGCCAACAAAAGTCCTTTTTTAACATTTGAATAGGAAATGTTTTGATTCTGCCACAGATTTCCCTGATTAGTTTAGTTGCCAACTGGATGGGCTACTCGGACCTTGGACCAATCAAATCCCTCCGAACCCTCCGAGCTCTTAGGCCTCTTCGGGCACTTTCAAGATTCGAGGGAATGCGGGTAAGTTAGTGGCTACTGGGGCTCTTTTGATTCAGAAATAGCATCTGCATCTGCATCTGCACAGCACGGTCAGCTCTGAGTAGTTTGCATGGCTGACAATGATTTTAAACACCACATTGGAAAAGCTGGAATCAAATTAAATAAGAAAAAAATTCAATCAGCTTAATTCAAATTACTTTCATGCTTATTTTCTTTCCTTCAACGACCCTAACCTTAAAGTTGTCCTTTTATACACTGAAATGTCCCAATAATTGTATCTGTTAAGGGAGAAAAATATATATTTTCTGGGGGGTATATCCTTTAAAAAAGTTTTTGACTTTGTATGTATTGTTTTTTAAAAGACACAGACCTGTATTTTATCATGCTTCCTTGTACTAATTTGATTGGCTTTCCCATATCGGGTGCATGCGCACGTCTTGGCCGACTGATGTAAGTGTGTCACAGTCAAATTGACCTAAATTATCACATTATCGTTTGGCCTTACAGCCATGCTGGACTGAATATTATTTTAAATCCCTCCTGTGTTATGCAGGTGGTGGTGAACGCTCTGGTCGGAGCGATTCCCTCCATCTTCAACGTGCTGCTGGTCTGTCTGATTTTCTGGCTCATCTTCAGCATCATGGGAGTTAATTTGTTTGCTGGGAAGTTCTACCGCTGCATCAACACCACCACGGGGGAACTTTTCCCCATCACTGTGGTCAACAATTACAGTGATTGCATGGCCGTTAAAGAAGCCACACAGGATGCCCGCTGGACCAACGTCAAAGTCAACTACGACAACGTTGGACAAGGCTACCTGTCCTTGCTTCAAGTGGTGAGGCGTGCAGTCTCATTACATGAAGCTTAAGATTTTCTTTTTTTACTGTTCTTAGGTTTTGTGACATATGACAAAATGTTTTCCTATAATTTAGGCGACCTTTAAAGGCTGGATGGACATCATGTATGCTGCTGTTGACTCCAGAGAGGTAAAAACTTTGTTTTTGGTTACCAAATCAATCACACACTGCCCTCATTGTGAGTCACACAGACAGCCGCTCCACAGCTGCAGACCAAAATTTTTGTCTAATAGAATACATTTCCTCAGTTTTACCTGGTCATGCCAAAAATAACATACAAATGAAATCACTTGAAGGAATTCTGTGTAATCTGCCAGGTGATCAAATACTCACCCAGATACATTTGATATTATATTAAAATGAATAAATGTGTTCTCCATCTTCTCTGTTTTCATTTAGGTTGAGGAACAGCCCTCTTATGAGATCAACCTCTACATGTACATATATTTTGTTATTTTTATCATTTTTGGCTCGTTCTTCACCTTGAACCTCTTCATCGGTGTCATTATTGACAATTTCAACCAACAAAAGAAAAAGATAAGTGCAGCTTTTTGTCTGGGAATGCACTGAACCTGTACAGAAGTCTCTTTTCTCTGTGACAGAATAGGTATGATATGCTTTTATAATAACCACTGTATTCTGTCTTTACATTGGAGACAAAGACATCTTCATGACTGATGAACAGAAAAAGTACTTGGAGGCCATGAGAAAACTTGGTTCCAAAAAGCCACAAAAACCAATTCCTCGCCCAACCGTAAGTAGATTAAATTATTGAATACCCCCGTTAGTAATGGGTAAGGGGGCCTGTCTTTAAGTGTCTGGAACATGGCCGCCATCCTGAGAGTCATCCTATTGGATCAGGGCCTCTGATTATTTTGCATGATAATGTCGTCAATGAGCCCTATATTGACACCAACGGACCCTCTCCGCCTACCTCTGACTTTCAGAACCTGATCCAGGGCCTGGTGTTTGACTTCATAAGCCAACAGTTCTTTGACATCTTCATCATGGTGCTGATTTGCCTCAACATGGTGACCATGATGGTGGAAACGGACAACCAGAGTGCAGAGAAGGAGGACTTCCTGTTTAAACTGAATGTGGCGTTCATTGTTGTCTTCACGGGAGAGTGCGTGCTGAAGCTCTTCGCTCTGCGACATTACTTCTTCAAAAACGGCTGGAACGTTTTTGACTTCATCGTGGTCATCTTGTCCATAGCCGGTTGGTGACGAGCAGACTTTTTGAAAACCCGCCATGCTCCAAAGTGAAATAACCTGTCTTTGCTTCTCCTTCTGTTTCAGGCACAATGCTCTCAGACATAATTGAGAAGTACTTTGTGTCACCAACTCTCTTCAGAGTGATCAGACTGGCCAGGATTGGAAGGATTCTGCGTCTCATCAAAGGAGCTAAGGGCATTCGGACGCTTCTGTTCGCTCTAATGATGTCACTTCCTGCCCTATTCAATATCGGCCTCCTGCTCTTCCTCATTATGTTCATCTTCTCCATATTTGCCATGTCAAACTTTGCCTATGTCAAAAAGGAGGCCGGGATTGATGACATTTTTAATTTCGAGACGTTTGGCGGGAGCATTATCTGCCTATTTCAGATTACGACCTCTGCAGGCTGGGATGGCCTTCTGCTTCCGATATTGAACAGGGAGCCCCCTGACTGTGATCCAGACTTTGAGAATCCGGGCACAGATGTAAAGGGTAACTGTGGCAACCCAGGCATGGGTATGATGTTCTTCTGCAGCTACATCATCATTTCATTCTTGGTTGTGGTCAACATGTACATTGCCATCATCTTGGAGAACTTCAATGTGGCCCAAGAGGAGAGCGGCGATGCGCTCTGTGAGGAGGATTTTGAGATGTTCAATGAGACCTGGGAGAAGTTCGATGTAGATGGAACGATGTTCATTGGATACAGCCAGCTCTCCGATTTTTGCGACACGCTGCAGGAGCCGCTGAAGGTCGCCAAACCCAACCGGCTACGGCTGATCGAAATGGATCTACCTCTGGTCATCGGGGACAGGATCCACTGCCTGGACGTGTTGCTGGCCGTCACGCAAAACGTGCTGGGCGACACCGTGGAGATGGCGGCCATGCGAAAGAGCATCCAGGCCAAGTTCATTCTGAGCAACCCCACCTCGGACTCCTTTGCGCCCATCACCACAACGGTGCGGCACAAAGAGGAGCACAGGGCGGCGGCGCTCATTCAGAAAGCTTACCGCCTCCGCCTTTTGAAGCGCTGCTTACGCCACGCCGCCTTCATGCACCGCTCAAAGAGGACGGGCCGCAAGCCTGAAGCCGAGGAGCCACCGGAGAAAGAGGGCCTGCTCGCGCGAAGGCTGGGCGTGCTCTACGGGAGCAACGCGGAACTTGCAGAGGAAATGGAGCGAGCGGCTTTAGAAACTCTAGAAAGCCAACAGCAGCAACTTCATCCTGAAAGACTGTCGCATTACGAAGAGGCCTGGTGCGAACACGAGCTTCCTGAGTCAAACGTGATTGTCGTCCCCGTGGAAATCACCAATGAAGTTTTATTACATTGTGCTCCCACTCACCGTCTCATCACCTTTCAAGAAAACTTGAGAGAGTCCATTGTATAACAAACTCTGCAAAGTAATTATGTCTTCCCTCTATTAAGGTTTTGACGTTTTTATCTAGGCTTTGCTACATATTCCTGTATATCCTTCATGGAGCATTTCCATCTCTTGGGGGTGAAATGTGAAAATGGAGTGGGTGGTTTTTTGTTATAATATATAATTATAACATTGTTGTTATAATATAACAACATCAATCTTTAAAATTAGTTGATGTTAAATTGATATTTCTGGATGAGAGATACAATAATTTCTAACAGTTTTTTTGCTTGTCTTTACTTTTTCCCCCCCAGAAAACAACTCTGGATAATCTGATTGTTTTTGCATTATTGTAGAAGAGACTATGTGACGTAACAGAACACTTTACCAATATCAGTAAACATGACCTAGCTTCCTCAATGTGTTTGACAAAATGTGACAGAGGCTTTCACTGAGGTCATAAAAGTGTATTAGACAAAAACTCATACCAAGATGGCCGTATTTAAACATTGGGGATTTTTTTGTACATATGTAAATTAGTATGTAGAATAAAGGGTATCTGGTTGTGAACTCTGCCAGTGCAACACTTCTGTTCCATCTGTGGTTAGTTAACAGTCTCGACATCTGTCCCTGTCTGACTCTGTCAGAGAGGGTGAGTTTATATTGCACTATTTATATCCCGTCCAGGTCAAAATTAGAGCGGTTTTCTGTCTTATATCGCTTTCTCACATGGTGTTTTTCAAGATATCATGCATGTCTTATTAATGTTTCAGCTTTTTGTTTTTCTCCTTTTAGTGGCGTTAGGTGTCTGAATAAGCAAAAAAGTCATTCTTTCCCCTAACTTAAAAGCAAATGACTTTGCTGCATTAAGGTTAAAACTGTAATCAGCAAATGGATTTAAACAGAAAAAACATGGCTGCACTTTTATAATAGGTGAAGTTAAATAATCACAAAAGAGCCCTTTCTTACTAACCATGTGATGTGGATCTTCTCTTAAATCTGTCCTCATGTACAAAAGTTGCTTGTGTGAGTCTTAACTGTATTTCAGATGTCTTACTTTCAGGATACTGTGCCTTACTTCTCCAAAGTTTTAGGCATTTTGGGTAAAGGGATGTTTGGAAATAAAACCATGAATAACTTCTGTTTAAAAGGAACAAGCCAGTTATGTGTCACTACTAAACCAAGTCAATATTTGGTTTAAGGACATGTTGCAAAGTTATGCAACCTAAGTTTATGCAACTTAACCTAAATTCTATACTGATGATACACATGGATGCAGGATGCAGATGAAGCTCAAATCCACAAATAAGTGGCATTTTTAATTATTAATCAGTTTCAAGAGTGTCTAACAAAATGATGGACCTGTGTTTAATTCTGAAATGGTTTGGCTTCCTGTTGCCCTGTCCCAGAAAAACTGAATATCTGCATTTAAAAGGACATGTTTTGCATGTAGCATTTTGGCCTAAATATAGTTTGGATGTAATTTACTGTAAACATGGTTGTATTCTCTTCAATCAGGATTTGAATATTAATAAATATATAAATTACATCTAACCATCTGAAGTGCCTAAAACCTTCTGCACAGAACTGTACAAACATGAATTATATGAGCACTTTCACATGTTTTTACACCACTGTACAACTTTATATGTTCAGCTCTGATTTACCATCGGCCTTGGAGGAAAATAGAGATTATTGTTTTCTCCTCGGGAGGTTTTTGTGATGTATCCTGTCAGGAGTTTGCAGTGTCCTCTGATGGTACATTCATATTTACGGGACAGTCTTCCATTTGTTTACATTTCTACTGAGTGAAAAGCTACATGGAGAGTTTTACAGGTACACTCACAATCGGTGTTGATTGTACATATATACATTTGAATATATGCATTTGTTTGTATGTTTTCCTCATGTGTTATTTGTTTATATCTTTTTGTTAATGGAAAACATGTAACTATATTCTTGAAATAAAACATTTCTTTAGGTTATTTGGTTAGTTGTGTTCTCATGTCGTGTGGAACTAGAGACGAGTGGCGCCCTCTGGTGGTTGAATGGTCACAAGGCTACACTTCGGCAAGTTTTTTTTACACAATAAATAAAATAAAACCTCCATTTGTCCTTTATGTGATTTCTACATTAGGTTGTTGTAAAGGTTTAATTTTTACTATAGATTGTTGATACATTTGTTAAAACCCGGGGATTATTTTCTGTGTTAGTCTAAAATGCTCCATGTATTTCAGCAGGATGTTGTTTGAATCCTTTTTTCTTTTCAGATAAGGGGGGAGTGGTGTCAAGTCTATTTTCTCTCTTCAGATAGAGTAGCTTTATTTAGTGGATGTAGCGGTATATCTCTCGCTAACACGCAGAGCTGGTGCTGCGGAGCATGCTATCTTTAAAAATTAGGGAAATGTGAGCTTGACTGACTCTAGACCTTCAATCCTAACTGCCTGTTGTTGTTGCATAACAGGAGCCGTCAGACATGTTTAAAGCAGTTTTCAGTCATTTATAAGTCCTCAATTATGCATAAATTAGTTTCCATGCATGCTGTATGATGTGGCCTCATGTCAACAAGTCAAAATAAGCTTATTTTCTCAAGAGATGTCACAGAAAACATCTCCTGAGGGGTTACCGCAAGTATGACTTGTAGTTATTCTCCTTTGATGGAGGGTATTTCAGATAATTAAATAATTTCAGCACAAGTCTTCATCATTTCCCCGAAGAGTGTAAAATGCTTCTGTGGAGGTAAAGGGAGCTTGTAGATGTCACATGTTTGAGTGATATGACCAAAGTTTTTGTTCCATTTCACACACAGTTCTCCTGGGGCACACTTCTCAGCTTTGGTTGGTTGGTGATGTTAAGACAAACGGCAAGACTTAGATGTCTAACCAAGCATGACGGTTTTTACTCAAATGATGTAAGAACAGCCTCATGCAAAACAGGGAGTTGAATATGTTGCCTCTCCAAACAATTAGGCTGCAAGTCAACAAAAGAGCTTAATGTCTCATGTTTTGACTTTCAGTTGTCTAAAGTATGAAAACCTGTCAAGATTCCAGGATCAAATAAAACAAATTGTCTGAAATCTGAATAAAGGTGTCAAAAATTAAATATTAATTTAGTATATGATTTTATCCAAAAACAAATGACAAGCAAAAGAAAGGCTGGGAGGGTCAAAGGCTCAGTGTGCCTCAGCCATTAGCAGAATATAGCCCTATTTCCAAACGAAGGAACAGGAAAAACGTTGCTCTTGATTTTCAATACATGACTACTGATTCGTTTTGAAAGACTCTTGGTACTCTTTACAGCTTAATTTTGTCCTGCCTTTCTCTTAACTTTGTTAGCATTCCACCCACTCCCATCAGTTCGGATGAGAACTTAATTTTCCCTCCTTTTGTTGCCCTCATCCCAACTTTTTGAGCCATTTTGCTGCCAGTATTGAAAAGCACATTGTTCCATGGAATTTTAGGCGGCGTTGTGTAAATGTGGCACCATGCACTTTAACTGGTAATATGTGCTTTGATTATGGCACAGGCAGATAGTTATTTAACTTCTTTCTTTACATGCTAATTGTGCTGGTTGGAGCTGTGATGGCCGCCTGGTTCCACCTGCAAGAGAAACAGTGTGGAATGTGCTTTTGAGTGGAAATGGAAATGTTTCGAGGAAGTGATGTGACTGTTCAATAGGGTTTGCAAAAAAAGTGTAGGAACACGAGAATCATGAAGTGAGTAGGATTGTGAAGTAATACTCACGTCTTTGGTTCAAGGGTTTACAGGTTATAGCTTTCCTTTGGAAACGGGCAGATTATTATTATTGCAATATACTGAGGTTGGGTGATGAGTTTGTATTTTTCAGTACGGATATGTACACAGAAGTTAGATAAGGGGGATGATTGGTAAGTGTTAGAAGAATAGTGACTGGTTCTGAAATAATTGGCTGTTTTTGGTAAATGTGACGGCAAAAAACTTCCCTGTGACATTCAAAACCCCGCCTGGCTATTTCTCTTGCTGCATCATCTACTGGTGATGGTGGTCCTTACACTGCCACCATACCAAAATTAACATATTTTTTTATCAACAAATACACAGACCGGACTCTTTTTGGAGCAGGTATTGTAAACACAAATGTCTCTCCTGTGAAACCGAAATTTGGACAAAGTAACACTCTTGTATGAAACAGTTTCGCCAGCATCTGAAACCAAGCCCTAAAACCGTCCATAATTTCACCGTTTTACATGCTGGTTTTTGAGCTCCGTCCAATGATCACTGTGTACCTGCACCAGAGAGGTAGGGATGTGCGAATGACGCTGGTGGAATTTAAAAATCTGCTAGAGTGTGTTGTGCAGTTATTTTGGTTTGATCACACATCACCCTTCCTCTTATTTGCCTGCGCTCTGAGTTGGCGTATCAGGCAGACTGCACACCCACTGCAGCTTCTTTTCTGAGCGCACAACCCTTTGGGGGCCTGCAGAGAGACTTCCACACACCTGCGTCGTCAGCTCAATCGCTCTGCTTCTGCATGCCATCATGCGTTGGATTCTAGCTGGATGCTGGGTGCTCGCACTGGTCAGCCTGTCAGGTAAGTGTCCACTTTTGCGTTTTGATCGAATTCATTTGATGCCAAAGAGCAAAAAAGTCGAATCTGGCACTTATAGAAATGGATCAGTATGTTTTTGCTTGTGAAACTCAGAGAGCAGAGCGGAGATGTAGTCTGCTTCTGGGCAAAAAGTACAATAAATTAAATTAATTCAATTGTTTTTATTTCGACCTGACCGCAGCCTGACTGCAGGCATCGTTTTGCATGTTATTTTTGACTCCACAGTACCATTACTTCCTGGCCATCTGGGGGAAAAGAGGAAGTTCTTTGTGACAAAGACCATCTTATTGTCATGTTGATGAACTTGCGTCTTGTTTATGCCGAATATTCTCTTCACAAAATAATAGAAATCTAACTGGCTCCTTTAACCTTCTGCAGCCTCAGATTAAGGCTCTTTGTCCACCCTGGAAAATGAAAACAGATCCAATTCAAAAGACTGCATCAGCAATGATCCTTCAACTTGGCCACAAATCAAATGTGGGGATTTTATGCAGCTTTAGGTTGTCATTTTCTTATCATTTTGGGGGAGAAAAATCCCCTCAGCCAATAGAAAAATCTTCAAATGAAGAACTTAATTCCATCAATCATGTCTGAATACAGATACATTGGAGATTTATTCTAGATTATAATTAATTCCCTCCCTTCATTTGACCCATTATCAGTATTTTCCAGTTTTTTTTCTATAAAACATTTGAACACCTTTGATCTCTCTTTATGGACACAAGAAAACATTCAATAAAAATAAAATAATTCAGAGGTTAACCTATAGCTTTTGTTTTAAATTATTACTATTTACTCATATTTTACATGAGGTCCGAAAGTGTTAATCGCATGTAAATTATCTAATTACTCACCAAAGAAAAATTGCAATATAGTTTTCCAAATGCAAAAGATACTAATTTGATAGTTTTCACTTTTTCCCCCATTGCAGATATTTTCATTTCAAACTATTTCTATTTAGTTAATTCTCCTTTTTTTTACATTTAAGATACAAATGTATCAATTGATTAGTGGAAATGTCGAATTCTAAGCCCACTGATAATGGGTTTAGGTAATTATTGTTTGCAATAACAATTACAATTCTTTACTTTTTTTTTTTTATCTTCTCAGTTGCCCTGCAGCTCAAACAGCGGCCCCGGGTCTACAGAACCAGAACCAACCGGCCTCTGAGCATTTTCTGTCTATTCATGCAACATGACAAGCCAAAATCTGCTGAGGGGCTGAGGGCTTCTGCTCAGTGGTACAAGGCCAATAAGTACAACGGGGACAAGGAAACGATACCGGAGAGGGACAGATACAAATACGGAGAGCTCAAAGGCATCAAAAATGGCTTGCTTCACTTGTACGATGTTGAAACAAAGGACAGCGGAGTGTACTTCTGTAAAGTGAATGGAACATTTGGACCTGGAACTGAGGTCCAGATATTCAGTAAGTGAGGAAGAAAGCTTATTCATTCAAACCACTGGATGAAGGGTCATTTCTGACTGGTCATCATATCCTTCAAAGTGTTAACCGCGTGCTGTTTCATCCTCATAGAGTCAGTGGACCTTTACCAGGCGCTGTACAGGTCAAAGATAAAGGATGGTCTGATGGTGCTCCAAGGCCTGCTGCTGGCCGTGTGCATTGGTGTTGTTCTGCTGCGTAAAGACAAACTGGTGAGTGGTAATATGAGCAAAAACAACCTTTGTTTCATTTTTACTTGTAGAACCGGATGCATCCGCTGCATAAAAATGGGATATTTTGGTTGAAGACTGTTTCAAGTTTGTATAAATTGAAAGATATCTCCCAAAATATTGACCTTACTGCATTTCAGTGTGAAATACTTTGTTTTTTTATTTATAAGTTTGTGTTTCACAAGGCTAAAGGGGGAAAAAAAAGCAACTTATTATTTTGGGTCCAATTCGCAGCTTTATGCAAATTGGCTCTGACATGGGACAGTTTTTATTTATGTCAAAACATACATACTCATCTGCTGACTCAGCATTTGAAAGCGAAGCTATTCTATCTTTTTTTGGTCACTTTATTTGTCGTAGCGACAGAAAAGAGTATGAAGAAACGTCTCATTTCCTGTGTGACAGTACAGTGGGCCATATGGTGCCGGCGACACTGGCTGTTTTTGTTGGGTAAAAGGGTGCTCAAAATGGTTTCATCTGAAGTGGAAAGGAAGAAAAATGACCTTAGTCCAGAGAGGAATGCCCCTGTGAAACATAATCCAAACAGGAGCACAAACACAGACTCACAAACTGCTGTAAACCGATGAGTCTAATTCAGCTCTGCTCACTTTCCAGGTCCTGTTAAATGTTGGTTTTTCCTCACCCCTAATAGCTAAATTACAGAGAGGCTGATTTTTGCAGGTCTGGTTGTGATATCCAATACTCACAATGGCTACGAGCAAAGCACCTGTAACTGGTCAGTTATTGGTCCAGAATATCTAGTAATGACCTGGTCGGTCCCATAGATGATGGTAACATTTCTGTGGCGGTTTCAGCCACCGTGAGTGCCTCGACAGACTCTGAAGACAGTGTTTCTGGTCCTTTATTTGTGTGCACGCACATACAAACACACAATTCTCTCAGCTGGTTCTTGGCTGGTTCTTGGCTGGTTCTTGGCTGGTTCCTGGCTGGTTCCTGTCTGGTTCCTCCTGTGTAGTCGCTCTCTCTCCAGGTCCAGCGCGCTACTGTTCTTAATAAGGGGGGAGTGATCAGCCAACCGAGTCCAGGTGTGCTGATCACCTCCAAAAGTTTTGATTAACCGTCAAAACACAGCGTTTTAGAGCCTGTGAGCATACCCTGTGCAGGGTAACCTCATCAAATTTAAGGTTATTTAAAAATTTGAGCTCAGTGTTATCTTAAAAATCTAACTCCAACAGGGCTCAGTGGCCTTCATATAACTTTTACTATGATTTAAACATATTCAGACAGATTTAAAAGGGTTTGGATTTCCTGGTCTGCCAGATGATTCTCCAACAAACTTTTCATTAATTTGAAGGGATTTCTACCTTTTTCCTTATGAAACAATCCAACACTGTAAATGTGTTTTTATCACCAGACTTCATTTTCCATTTTTGAGTCAAAGGTGTTGATTATATGTCACATGTCACAGTGTATCTAACAGTTACCTTTCCGTCCATATTTATTCCGCTTTTCTTTTTTTCCATTTCATTCAGTTTGAAAAGGAGGAGAGCAATTATGAAGAGCCTGAAATCGACCACATCTACGAGGTTTGTTTCCGTCTTTCTGTCTTATCCCCAAAGGCTCATGCCCGACTTTTAATGGCAGTGGTTGTTTGAGGGATTAAGCCCCACCTCATCACAGCTGGGCGTTTTTACATAAAAAGTACAAGTGTCTGTAAGACAACAGGACATGCCATCTCCTTGCACCACTGAGCTTCTCACCACAAAAGAGTCCTTCAGATCTGCTGTCTGATTCATCACTGGATGGAGGTGTGCAGCGTTCTACTTTAATAAGCAGCTTCTTTTTTTTTTGCAAAGAAAAGGAAACGGGCAAAGAAACGGGCTAAACCGTATAAAGATTAGTGAACATGAAAATAAATAAAAAATGCTCTTTTTTTCCATGAGTAGATGGTCAAGGCAAATGTACACAGAAAGTTTTGTATTTAATCAGAAGTTTAACTATGTATTCTTACAGTATATTCAGCATAAAATCCTGGTAATTAATTACTCAACAGAACAGCAGTTTTCAGTTAATCTAAACATAGAGGAGAAAACATAAGGCGATACAGACGAGATCCCACAAACGTCTCATAAAAAAAAAACTTTATTTCTATTTGGAACAACGGAGCCAAATGAAGGCGCTGTAATTTGTTGGGAACGTTTCATTTGAACACCCTTGAAGTAAATGTCAGGTCGGCCAATTTTTCCAGTAATAATGAAGACCAGAAAGGGGGTGTTCATGCAAATGGGTGGCGTAGTTGTTGTAAATGTCAGACAGACTTTTGTGGTATTTAAGAGTTGCACATGCCACATCTAAATCCAACATGCAAATGAAACTGTGGCCGCATGCCCAAACATAGGCAGGAATCTGAAGGCTTTCTCCACTTCTTGTTTGGATACTTAAAGTTTCATGAAGGCCCCCCTGTCATGTGTGATGAGAAGTAAACCGATTGTGGGTTTTCTCAGGGCCTGGCGATCGAGACGTGTGATGGAGGTTTGTATGAGGACCTGGCCATCTACGCTCAGGCCGAAGGAGCCGAGGCCCCGTGGGAATGAGGACCCCTCTCCAGCTGGAAAAGTACCGCCACGTAACCTTGATTTCTTTTTTTTTTAGTTTTAATGTAAAAAATATAGAAATGGGTTTTTTCTTCCAGCAAAGCTCAAGCACAGTTTGTAAAATATGTGCAAAAGCAAAGGCTTTTTCTTTAAGTGCTTCGATATCTGCTTCTGTTTGTGCTGATTTTCTACAGTTTTGTAGCACTTATGAAAGACATTATCCCACAACTCGACTTGACTTGACTACTGACGTACTGTTGTTATCTTTGGTGCTTTGAGTGATGTTTGTATGAATCATGCTGCATTATTTTGTGATTATTTTCCTCTAAACGACTTAAAATCTTCCTTATTTTTTACTTGAGTTTTTCAGAACCAAACCCGCTGGTTCCTCTTGTTTTTTGACATTTAAAAAAGATGGTATGTGTTTTGTGTATCGAACAATTAACAGAATCCAGTGTGCTTGAGAAAGTTTTTTTTAATCATGAAGATCTCGGTGAACATTATACTTTAAGAACACATGGTAAGAAAATAAATAAACTGTTAAGTTAACATATAAATAAGATAGATAGATAGATAGATAAATAAATAAATAACCAGGCACATGAACAGGCAAATCCTTCATGTGGCAGATGAATAAGAGACAGATTTTAGTTGGCTGTCAGTAAAGATGCAACCAGCATGTCCATTTCCATGAGATGAGACTTGATTTCCCTCCTGATCAGCTCCCAGGCCTCCGCACTGCGACCCTGCACACACAACAACGTGTTCATGATCAAAACGGGAGACAAAAGCCAAAATGAGTGTTCTAACACATGAAGGAAGTCTTACCATCTGCACAAAGACAGTGCGAGGGAGTCTTTTGAAGTACATGTGCAGTTTCCTGTTGGTCTTCTTGTGTCCTCCAATCTAAAATAAAATTAAAATAAAAACAGCTTATTGCTTCAGTAAATTGGACTCCCAGATCTGGGGCCCTGAATCCCTGACCGCACTTACACAGGCGCTCAGTTCTTCGCCCTGCCTGATGATGACATTGAGAAAGTGCTCCACGGTGCTCTCCTCCCACGATGAAGAGCCATCCTCCTCCTCAAGCAGCTCACACACCTCCTTCAGGACCTGAGCTGCAAAAGCAACTTTGTCCGCAGGCTGGAGAAGAAAAAAATAAAGAGAGCAGCCGTGGGTTTGGACGTGAGTTTCTATCAACATGTGCTGCATTTTGAAAACGATTATTTAGCATTTTTAGTCAAAATGTGGACGACTTACTGATAACTTGGAGGCCTGGCTGTACAGGTGATGAGGGGAAGCCACCTCATGCTGGCCGGTGTAATGACTGGCCTGCATCCCAAACACAGGAGAATCAGAAACCAAGCAGATGGACATCTATCGGTCATTCAGTCTAGGAATCGGTGCACTCACCATCATATCTATGAGAACCAGCGAGTTCTCACTGTACTGTCTGAATTTATGGTCCATCCACCTGCAGCTCAGAGAGGAGCCTGGGCTGCACAGGCCCAGGAGGAGGAGGAGGCACGCAAAGAAGATCCTGCCGAGCATTTTGGAAAATATCGTTGGGTTCGTCTCTGCCGGAGGTCAGCTCGACTGTGTCCGGTTGTTCTGCCGAGCATCTTTTTAAAGAGTAAAGAGCTCCCTTTTTCATTTTCCTCTTAATCCTGGTGGTAAAAGCGAAACGTCAGCGGTGGCTTTCACCGCAACGGAGCGCACAGGTAAAAAGTCACATAGACCATTTCGAATTTTAATTAAGAGGAAAAAAGACGTGCTTTTTTTTTCATCCTAATACGTGCATAAAACATACATATGGGATTTAGATCACCATGTGATCATTTTAGTGTAGTAAAAAATTATTTCTACTAAGTTAGATTACATTTACAGACACATGTTAAAGTTTAGAAATCAAAATATTTTTTTTATTTATATATTTTGTTTTTAGAAAAATCGTTTCTGCCCGGTATTTTTACAGTTTCACTGTTCAATTCTTTTGAAATAAAATACAATTCAGACGGATGTGTTAAAATTGCGGATTCATGATTGATCTGTGGCTAATTAGGAAGTTCCTGCAAAGGGAAAGCGAAAGTTCTCTTACGCACCTCTCCGTTTGGGATATTTCATGTTGTTCTACCTGAGATCTGAAGACAAGCTTCTTTCACACCTTTTACTTCAAACCGAATGAAACCAAATTAAATCACATCTAAATTCAACATTTCACGACAGCATTGGCCATTCGGCTCCACAGAAAGCCTCAGAGAGGCGAAACTGCGTGTTTGCTTTGGGTTTCTTTGCGTTTCTGTGTTTAAAACAAACTGCGATGTTTATTCTAGCACCATTATTTCGTCATGTCTCATTGTATTTTGGTCTCATACATATAATGTTTTTATTGGATTAACGCTCATTCTCCTGGATCCTGGAGACGTTTTAAAGATAGTTTTTAATAATTAATCCATATGATAAGATGGCGTGGGCTTACAAATGTAAGTGTTCCAAATCACAATTTAACCTGTTACAACAAAAAAGGTATATTGTGTTTTCATTTTGTCATAAAAATGTAAATAATAGAAACACATATTTCCTGTGGGTATTATTCGTTTCTTTTCTTTTTTTATTTTTCTTGTACAGGAGACAACTTCAGAAACGTTTTGTGTTTGGTTGGAAAATAATAAAGAAAAAGGTTTTTCATATAAAGTTTCCCCACCAACTGCACTGCTTCTCTGGGTGTTTTTTTTTTTCTTCAAACATTTTAAGCCCCCCCAAAAGGTCAAAGGTTGGACGCAAACAAAATAGACGTGATGAACGTGTTGGTTTTATTAATGTGGTGAAGTGTTTCAGGTTATGATGCTTCCGAGGCCTCCTCACATTTCCATGGGCCAAGAAAATAGTGGACTATGGCGCCCCCTGTTGGTTTAAACAGTCCAGAAATACATATGCCATTCTGACAGAAAATAACTAAAAAGACAGAGTGTGGTTCAGTTTTATTGTGTTCAAAGTTTAAAAAGCTGAGGTCAGAGGTGATTAATCACTTTTTCACATGATGATGTTTTCTGGGAGGTTTTCTGGATGCAAATCTCTGATTTAATGTAGTT